AATGATTCTGTGAAGCAAAATGTGAGAAATGAAATAAGAAAGATAAAAATGTGAGTAATAATGTATGAGTGACGAATTCTGAAAATCTAGAATATTCGAGGGCCTAAAATGGCCTAATAAACACACTCACCTTGACAATACACTTAATCCTTAACTGCCTACAGCTCTCGTAGAATCGTCTCAGATTTCTTCAAATACATCAACATCGTACACAAAAACAAAACAGAAAATAACACAGTGTTCACACAGATATTAATATTCCAACTGAAACTTGGAAAGCAGTTAAAACGGTCAGAACGGTTGGAAGTCAAACACCAATATGGCGCGCGGTGGTAAGTGGACAAAGACCACGCCAACGGTAATTAGTTGGCCGGACAGACATGCGGAAATGCGGACCAACGCGGGGTTGAACCCTGATCCTTCTGTGCCGACGGGGGTCGATGCGTCCGGTATCCACGGGGTGGACTTTCCCCGTTCGTCGGCGCCGACCAGCCGCTCGTCATTACTGAAGTTACGGTATTTATCTCAGACCCGAACAGCCGGGTTCCACAGGCGACCTGAGTACGGGGTTGACAACCAGGAGTCACCTGGGTCTTTATCAGACAGTCGTTCCTCAAGCTCGTACCTCAAATTCACCGAGCAGGTCCGCTCACGTAGCGGACCACTTTTTTTTCCGTGTACCGGTTGCCAAAGTGCAAAACCACGTCTCCCCATTTGTGATAATGCAGATTTTCTGTCATCCTTTATTTTTTTTGGAAAAACTATTTCTTTTAAACTTCCTTAACTTTTCCTCTCTGCTAGCAGAATACTCTGTACATTTTTAAAGTACAAAGTTGGCCTTTTTCTCTCGGAAAAAATAAAATAGGAGCGGTGATTTTAAGACACCGCAATGGACATAATTACGTAACTATGTACTTTAGCCATCGATGTAAATGACGCAGGCAATCAGCAGTCACCGGCGATTTTCAAGAGGATGCTTTCATGAATACCAATAATGCATATCGACGGCGTAAGTCCGCAATCACATATCTCGTTTGCGGCGTCTGAATTTCTCTGCCTCTATGTTATTTTTTTAAAGGAGAACCAATTGACATCATTACTTTGAGTTTTTGCAGAATTCTCTTCGCACAGAGAAGACAATAAATCACGGCAGTTTTAAAGAATTGCCGTTGAGTAGTTTTCTGTTTAAAAAATAAAGTATGACAGAGAGTCTGCGACGTCGCAAACCGAGTTATGTGATTGCCGACTTACACCGTCGACACAGGCATAACAAGCTTGACTTGGAGCCCCTTCAATTACTTGTGATACTCTACGCTTTGTCCCGAAGTTAGTATAGTTGCTTTTAGGGTCCAAGTATAACTAGAGTTTTGGAAATTGGAATTCACTAAATGCTCTCCTTAGGTTGCCTGTTACCAACATGTTTTTACGGATGAAACATTGTCTATTCACATTGAAGGCAAAATATTCAGTTGTCTAGTATCGATTCTTTATTCCTGAATTTCTATTGTTTGAATTTTTTTTGTTCGTTCACTAGTGATTTATAGTTAACAACATAGCCGGACGGGGGGAGCGGTAATTACCGATCGGCTGAACTAAGCCTCAGAAGTCGTCTTACGTCGACTTGACTCTCAGCTTTCGATTGGTCGAATTTGATTAGCTTTCTCCCTCTATCGACATGCTATTTTTAACTTTTAGATGGGCTTTTTGGTATTTTCACGGAATTTAATGAGGAAAATAATATACAGCAACCTACCAAAAATTTCTTGCCACTGTCATACCCGACCGGACTCACCTACTTGTTGCCCATGGGCCGCCTGGATTTTACCGCCCCCTTCTCATTTGTTTTGAAACATCAATAGATCGTATCCGACAGTGGTTCGATGTATCGTTTGGTTCAAAATAAAAGAACATAACTTCAAACAAAAATTTTAGGATTTAATTTAGAAAAGCTGAAAATGAGAAAATTCCTAACAATTTCACTTTTCATTGCCATTTGGAACCCGAGAGAATAAAAATTCGATCACATAAGACCCGTGACCTCAGATTTCTAAATTGACTTTTGAGGCTGTGGCTATATATTGAACCAATCGATATCATTATAATCTCACCTGTGTGATCTGTCGAATACGATCTATAAAAACCATCAAGTGAACGTGCCGGTGGAGGAGTGGTGTATGAGACATGTTTACTCGAGTTGGGCACATTTTTTGTGAAAGCCCTGTCAAAACTAACCAAAGGTCAGTTCCGTAAACCCATCCCTGTTTGGACAAGGTCTTCCATGTATAAAAAACGAACGAAAAAATTATGAAAGAACAAACATAAATGTGGTCAAAAATTTTAACTTCCACCGCCGCGCCGACCGCACCGTGTTGGCGCAATGCGTGAAGTATTCATTCAGTCTTGTAGACGCTATCCGTTTCACGCCGACAGCATGCTGACCACACTGTTTGGCGCAATGCGTGAAGTATTCATACAGTCTTGTAGGCGCTATGCGTTTCAAGCCAACTGCTGCTGACCGCAGTGTGTTTGACGCAATGCGTGAAGTATTCATGCAGTCTTGTAGGCGCTATGCGTTTCATGCCGACCGCCGCGCCGTTCTAGGTCAAATTGCGTGTTTGGTTTCTCTCTCAACTCAACTAATTAAAGGTGCTATCTCTTGTATCACCGAAAGACGACAAAATTAGAAATTACTATACTTTAACTCTCAGGAAATGAGAGATTGTGTCGCCTTTTCTCGTTTGTAATTTATTTTCTCAATCCGATTTTTTTCTCTCTTTTTTTGATACCTACATTCAAAAAGATTGCAAAATTTGCAGCCCCCTACATTTTGCCGCCATGGGCCGCGGTCCATGTGGCCACCCCCTTAATCCGGCCCTGCTGTCATATACAGACGTGGCTAAACCCTTCCTCTTCTCCTACATTCGATTAAAAGATTCTCCGCGCCTAAGCTACGCCCAAACAAACGTACATCCCGAGCCGACGGCAGTAAAAAGCCAAATGTAAGGTCAGCAGAACTTTTATGATGTGATATAATATTCCGCGAGTGTGTGTTCCGTCCGTCTGATGCCTGACGTTGCTTTCGGGGGTAATTGGAAAAATTGTAATAGTCCACGCGGCTCTCAAGGGAGCTTTCCACACCGTCCCCGACCACTCCTACAACTCGCCGTCGTGAGGGCGTAATTGCTTTTTCGGATGAGCCCTAGCGTCCGTTTAATTCCACGCCCTCCAGGGCTCACAGGAAAATGGATCACGACTTTACGTCAGGGATGCGGTGGATTCTGCGATAGCGCTGTTAGGAAGACGTCGCGACGATTTTTATTCAGTCCTCGCACTTTGATGGAGACGAAATGCGCAATAACTGAATTAATAGAGATTGGAAGAGACTTTCCACGCTGGAGAAGAGATTTAGCGATGTTCCGCCATCTGTGTGGAGGTTGCCATTTTTTCATAGGATTCTCGGACTTTCTCTTAGGAGGTGTAATGCCGTGCTTAGGAAGAACGCCGTATAAACCTCCGTGCGTTGCCAAATTTATTGTGATAAATTACGAATTTTAAGGAAAACTTGTGAAAATTTCCCGTCCAATTTTTCAGAGAATTTTCTTCGCAATTTTTTTTTTTTTTTTATTTGCACAAAAATAAATTAAAAATGTGTACAAGTAATTCCTTTAAACATAAGAATGTCTTTAAAATGCTTATTTTAGTTCTTAGCTTAAATTATATTAAGTAATGACTATTTTTAACATATGTGTACTGCCTATACACGAACAGTAGGATGAAATAGCACATAAATATTATAAAATAATAACGTCTTTTCTTTTTAATTGAATTACGACGGGCTGAATCGTCCAAAAATCAAGTGTCTCCTGACATGTCCAAAGAGCGATAGAAGACACTAAGAAGTTTTAATTACGGGCTTCTTCGCAATGTATCTAAAGTATCCGAGAATTTCACATGGAAATATCCATTATTTGCTTCAAAAATTAATAATTTAAGAAGGGAAATTTGGCAACTCTCGGATGTTCGTACGGCGTTTTTCCCTAGCACGACAGTGTAGTAAGAAGGATAGCTTTTGGTTGCAAACGGCAACCTTGAATTTAAGCGTTTGGCGGCATCAGCCGTTTTTGAAGGGGCGCTTTTAGCGATTCGCGCGTTTGTGCTGTGCTTAATAACCCCTTTTGATCCGCTATAGAAGGGCTCATTTTTTTCCACCGTCATTTCCCTCCGCGGGTCAGGTTGTCGACTTGATGGAGTTATATCGTGAAAAAGAAATAGAAGCATCCAGTTCACAATCAACCCGATTCTTGCGAAAAATAAATACCAAAAACCGAAAGGATCGGAATCGATCGCTGTTTTAATCAAAAATAATAACATGTCCGACCTCTCTAATAATTGACTCGATCCACTAGCACGATAGAATATTCCGACATTACCGTACTCTCCCCATCTCTGTTGTGGTAAGGAAGAACGTCGTATGAACATTCGAGAGTTGCCAAATTTCATTCGATAAAATGTTTATTTTTGAGGGAAATTATCAATATTTTTCCTTGAAATTTTCAGACGTTTTAGATCAAATTACAAGCAAAATTTTCTGAGAAATTGGTAGACATACATTCAACAATTTTCCTGATAATTAGTGATTTGTCAGGGGAAATATGGCAACGCTTGATGGCTCATACGGCGTTTTTCCTTAGCACTGCAGATCTATACTGCCATGCTAAGGAAGAACGCCGTATGAACATTCGAGAGTTGCCAAATTTCTTTCGAAAATATGTTTATTTTTAAGGAAAGTCATGAATATTTTTCCTTGAAATTTTCAGACACTTTAAATCAAATTACCAACAAAATTATCTGAGAAATTGGCAGAAAAATATTCAAAAAAATTCCTGAAAATTATTGATTTGCCAGAGGAAATTTGGCAACGCCTGAAGGCTCATACGGCGTTTTTCCTTAGCATGGCAGTATAGGCACTCTAATCTTCATTACAGAGAAAACGAACTTACCTGGAGGATTGGAGCGAAGTAGCAGAGGAAGCTCCCGAAGACCCAGTTTTCGATGAGCATGATGGCCAGCGAGATGGGTAGCACGAAGACACACTTGACAATATTCGCCAGCGCCAGGTTGATGACGTAGCAATGGGTCGGGTTCGTGTAGAGGTGGCGCCGGAAGATGGTCACGATGATGGCGATGTTGGACAGGGTCCCGCAGATGATGAGGAGCCCGTAGAAGAACAGGATCGAGGGGTAGACGCCGAAGATGGACGCCTTGACGTACGGCTTGCTTAAGTCGATCGACGCGTTCCGCTTCCCCATCAGAACATGCGTGATGTACTCCAGGTATTTTGGCGGGATTGGGGTTGAGTCTTCTTCTTCTTCGGCCATTTTTTCTGCTCTGAAGGTCGAGGTCACTTCCGTGACTTCAAGCCACACGCAAAGTCGAGTGCTTAGTATATCATCTTGGACGCAATGGTCATTCAGAATACTACCTTGATGATTGTGTCTGAACTTTCAGAATGATTCTCGGATAGATGTGTATAATCAGCGGTACTCAGAACGGACCGCAGCGTTCGAAAGTTTTGAAGGCTGCGCGGCAAGGAGAAGTCTTCAGAATGGCACGATAGTTGTGATGACCATTAAGAATAGTGTTGTGATGATTGTGTCTGAATCAAGAATGGCCCACAAGCAATTGCATTTAAAATGGACTGCGGTTAAATCGAAAATTTTAAATGCTATCGGCAAGGTTGAGTATGTTTTGGTAGTGACACAATGGACGTAAGGGTGATTTAGAATAGTGCCTTTCTAATTGCGGCAGGGTATTCAGAATGGTCAAACGGGGCATTCAGAATGGTACCCACGCGGTTGCATCCATGTTCTGAGTAGTATCCGCGCCACGAATTCAGAATGGTACCAGCGCGATTGAAATTACTTATTCGGAGTGGTGCTTAAGACTTAATGGATGACGTAATTCTTTACTCCTGGGTGTCTGGACGGCTGCATCCGTTTTCCTGGCTATACTTTTGAATGATTGAGCTTTCATACATGCTGGAGCCTGCCGGATTATTGAACTACAATTTCAGCGTGCTGCTCTGCGAACAACTACAACTGCCCGTGATTAATTCACGTTTGTCATTCAGAGAGATCCGCGAATGTCACACACAGAGTTAATATAGTATTATGCTTACAGAGGCATAGATGCTGGACAGTTCAGCGCTATTCTCGGAGTAAAAGACATTGCGATGTATATTTTTTGGCGTGGAAGTTCGACGAACCGGCTGCACGTTCGACGCGAGTTTCAGTTTTTTGCTGAACACGATGAGCTAGCGAACACGTCGTCATGGTGCATTCCGCTGGATAATCGAAATTCTAACGAGACCGAAAAAATGTTTCGCACTCTGCGCACTTGTTTCGAAAGTGATCATCGACGTTCGTTTGCCGATCAGTTCTGCACTTCCGTTAACTATCTACTCTCCGCACAATCTAGAAAGGAACGATTCATGATTAATTAGTTTTATTGAATCAGCCAATGATAGATATTTGATAATTTTACGACTCAGTATTTTTTTTTTTAATTTAATTTTAAAGGAAGCTAAAAACCACTCGTGGGTAGTTAAAAACGTTCGATCCGACGCTGTTTGTTAATACCCGCAGTGACGCAAAAAATGTCCACTATTGGGATGATTTTCTCCTAGAATGCCCTCAAATGAAATCGCTCTGCAGTAGGGATGACCTAATTTTAGCAAATGACGCTGCAACAAATGTTGCTAATTATTGGAGCTCTCAGATCTAATTTTTTAAAAACAATTTTATTAATGATTATTTTATATGTCTGTTACCCCGGACACGGAAGAAGAAATCTCCTGAAAATAGGAATACTTTATCAAGAGGAACCTCTTTCCATCTAATATAGACTACTACAGCTGAAAATGTTGCGATAAAAAAATTGGGTAAAACTGAAAAGTAAAATATTTTGACCTGCATCGTTATGTTATGATGAGGAGCAAAGGAATTAAGTGCAGCATTCATGAGGAACGGATAAGCCACCTCTCCTAGCAATACGGAGGAGCATCCATACTAAAATTCTTACACCTCGGGCTTTTCCTGATAAATTTAAAAACGAGGAGGTTTTAAGAAATATCTTGAAAGTTCAATCTATCGTACTTCCTTCATTACTTTTAACCCATTTAAATTGCTTCCACACACACATCACAAATCATCTCAAATTATGCTTCGTCACTTTTAATTATCTGTTGTGAGGTTATTAGGTACATCAGTCATCATCATAGCTGGTCAATCTGGGTTTTATGTTACTTCTATATGAATCTCGAGAAAACGTGTAGCTTTTCTTAAAGTCATTTAAAGCTGCTATTAAGATTAAAATTTTCAGATGAGGATGTAAGTGGAGAGAAAAATTGGACATCTCAAAGATAATATACACCCAACAACGTACTATTTAAAAATAAAAGCACCTGCTTAAGCGTTACAGATGTTGTATGATACGATGTTGCTCCAATGTTTTTGTTCGGATATATTACTTTCGCTCAGTAACGTTCAAATACGCGTCGAGGTTATCATGAAATTGATGTCGGATTCATTTACTTTTGCTTGATGAAGCTCATGGTCAAATGCTTCCTTTGTGAGTTGAGTTTTGATACAGTGTGCGTGTGGGTCTAGCGAATGTGAAAAAAAGTAAGAGGAGCATTGACAAATAGTCAATAAAGGCCGAAATCAGAGCCTCTGAAACACATAAAGTTTTGCAGGGAGCGTAAGTTAATGGTTTTTACCCTTCATTCCGATCGGGAATATCTCGTATAAATCCTAATCAAATCTTATTTATGCTCCAGTAAAGTTATTCATGGCCAGTTGTGTCATTGCCATGATATGAGTGAACGATATGAGCGGAAGTTTATGAGCAACATCCTCCCTCATAAAATAAACTGAGGTCGTCCCATTATTAGATTTTTATGGTTTCCTAATGTTGGTGAAGTCATTTATAAATAACCTTGAAATCAAAGCAAAACTCTCATTTAAATACGTACCTCCGTAGTCCTAGAAAACCGTGTGATTGTAAATTCAGAAAAAATTAACCAGACCGGTTTTTTTTTTTTGTTATCAATTTTTTTAATTTTATTTTTATTTTAAAATCGCATCTTTACTAGTGCAACTTAGAAACGGAACTTTCCTGGAGTATTTGAGAGAAGAATCGAGAAAAAGGAGAGATACAGGTTCTATTGTAGCTCATGGGCATTTTGAATCAAGAAGAGCACCAGCTCCGAAAATCGAGAAGCCTCTCCTTGGGCTATATCTTTTATTCTTTTTCCTCTTCTCACTTGATCTCGAGTGTTTCCCATCAACTTCCCCGGTGGCTCCATCGCTCACTAAAAGTTCTCAACCAAATTTTCACGTTCATTCTCATGCGCGAGTGGGTGAGGCTTCCTTTGCCTCGAGAATAAACTTTTATTCGCGCTTGTTCCATTGAACCCTCATGAGCGAAATGTACACCCACATTCGCAATTCGGGGATAAAAGTTATTGATTCCGACTTATTTTGGAAGATAATTCGTTTTTCATTAGTTGTGCTCGCTTAATTTCTTTGAAATTTAGTGCCCTGCGGTAGGTAATTCCCTTTGATTTTTTATCTTCAGTAATTAGTGTATTTTCCGAAGGAAATTAGTTGTGCTTATTGAATTTATCTAAAATGTAGTGTCTCATAATCCCTTCCGGATTTTTATCTTAAGTAATTTTTTTTTCTTGACCTTTAAGTGGTGTTTACTAGATTGGCGACAGAACGTGACCGAAAAATGTATCTCCCGTTTGGAGATCGAAAAGGGAAAGAATTAAGAGGGTGAAATATGGCAAACAGAGAACAAAAGGAAGAGAAAGTGAAAAGGGAGGGTAAGAGAAGGGAATTTGAGAATTGGATTCCATAACTGGGATAGATGGAATTTAAACATTTCAATTTAGGAGCTTTTTTACAAGCTGTTTTTTTACGTCAGACAATTTTTGTAAAAATAGGAAATAACCAAAAATATTTATCGCATCATCCCATTGATATAGATTTCTTTCCGGAAGTACCCATTTTTCACAACGTGCGTTCGTTTTAGTATGAGAAACTAATTTCTTGGTGGATCCAGAAAATTTACAAAATCAAATTTTTTTATCATAGGGTTAAAGTATGCTCATTTTTTAATTTGTTACATTTATTTTTCTCCCGTAAAACCTAATGATTATTTGATCCTTTGTTCAACACCGGCATTTATTTTGCATTTTTGCACCATCTAAAGCATTCAAACATCTAAATTTTTAAATTCCCGAAGAAGAACAAACGGCGGACAAACAAAAACTTCCAAACCTATTAAATAGAATTTTAAATTTTTAACTTTTATATTCCTCTAAACTCAACTATAATTAATTTATTTCACATTCCCTTCAAATACCGCGTACACTCCTTAATCTACCTAATATCATCGAAACGTTGCTACCATTCCCATTTTTTCTGAATTATTTCCAAAAAAAAAAATTCGTTTTTTTAAAAAAAAAAAAAAAAAGAGCGAACGATAGCTAAACACTTTCAAACTTACAAGTACATCATCATATTTTCCTCTCGGGTAAAATTCACTACCAATTGTGGCGAAAGTTCGATCGACTCGAGGAGGCAAATTTTTAAAATTCCGAAACGACGAACAACTCACGAGCGATTCGCGAGAATTCAACGCGGGGCGCTCTTTCACGAACCGCCATGTGACTGAGGCTCCGAGCGTCAACCCGCTGTTGCTTCAGCCAATCACGCCTGCGCCCCTTCATCCCTTCATCCCTTCAACCCCTTCAGCCCGAAGCCCGTCAAGGCAGCCACTCACCACCTGTTCCTCTCGCAGGGATGATTCCCTCGGGAGCCGGGGCCTCGGCGAAGGCGCCGACAGAACTTTCGTCGTCTCGATCAATTTCCGATCCTTCATTTTCGTGTCACCGATCGAGGTCAAAGCTACCCCAATCCGTCAAATTTGGGGAAGGGATTCGGATCCGAAGCCTATAGGAAAGCCACAGTTGCGAGAGATTTTTCCGCCTTCTTCTCAGTTGTTTCAGGGACAGGGTTGCACGCGTGAAATGAAAAATGTGGAAGATTGGAAATTTCCGTGAAATGTTTCATGCAATTTCACGAGGCTGTGATATATTTCATATTTTTCAGGGGTTAGAGTATGCAACCCTAGGGTGTTTCAAAAGTGAGGATTTTTCAAATTTTTTTTGAAATTTCAACGACATCCCCCCCCCCCTCATTTGGTTTGAATAGGTAAAAAAATCGTCGTTGTGAAATTTCGATGAAATCAAAGAATATTCAGGATTCGCGCCAGAAACGCTCCTGTTAAAAGTAGCTATTTTTATTTATTTTTTTGGTCGGCCCTTTTTATGTGCTAAAAAAAAAAAAAATTCCCGGGACAAAGATATCAATTAATTTTTTTTTTAAAACAATTGTAATAGTTACACGTATAATCCTGCTGAAAATTACCCGAATCACATTTTATATCACGTGTAAACATCCCTTTTAAAGTCTGCATTGAATTGCTGTTTTCTACTTGAAAGATTGAATCTTCTAACTATCGAGACCACTCTGGCGTAGGGGTGAGCGAAATTTCCGACTTGAGCGTTGAACGATATATTATTGTGAGCCTGGGAATATACCCACAGCAATTTTTTCAGAAAAAAAAGTACTCACAATTTGATCTGAAGTGTCTGAAAATTTCAAGGAAAAATATTCATAACCTCTTCAAAACTGCGTATTTTTATTGGAAGAAATTTGGCAACTTCGCGTGTAAATAAGACGTGTTTCCTTAACATAGCAGTCATGCACACTGCAGTTTCTGGAGCCTTTAGAGGAAGATTTGGCGACACTAACCATATAAAGGTCGGAGAGTTATTATCTCAATTATGGGCGTAGTCTCTGCTGCGCTATTGGTAGAGGAGCACAGCCCCTTTTTAAGAGAGCCTTATCCTCCATATAGCTTCAGAATTCTTAGGGCTCCCGGTGAAACGGAGTAAAGTTTTTTCGTTAGCAGGGTTATGCTCTAAGAGGCAAATCCATCATTGTAAAACCACACGATCCCGATTTGGTTCCATGCGGATAATGCTATGCTGGAAAAAATCTCAGATTTGCATCGGGTCTTAATTGAATCAGTGAGAACAAAAACACACCAATTCGGAGAAATGAAAATAATCAAGACACACGAAACTAGACAGTAGGTGAGGAAGGTACCCTAAGAAAAAGATTTTTGCTGTCGAAAGACAAGTACTTATGGACACTTTAAAGGTCCAAGTTGGAACAGTTGCACTAACTTCAACGACGTTCATGTAAATTAACTGTCTTTAATGGGAGTTGAGCATTTTCGAGTTACCGAGTTGGTGTGTTTTTGTTCTCACTGATTCAATTGAGGTTAAGTGATTTTTCCAGGACTGCATGGAAACGTCGGGTCCAGGAGAGTTGGTCCAAGCCACATTATTTATTTCATTGGTCGATGAAGACCAATCCAAGAGATAATTAATTCATGGTATGTAAAACGACTGCCAAAGACCATCGTTTCACATACTGGAAACAGGGGTAACTGGAGGAAAAAGTGAAAAAAATAAAACTGGCTAAATGTAGTAAACTACTGCATGAAATTTATTGGCCCCAGAGCATCTAAGTTTACACTCTTGAACTATGGAACTACGCAGCGTATTTCTCGTGGGTGACATGTACACATAAACCATGAAATGTAATGTCTACTAAATTTTCAGCATGTATTAATACAAAGTTAAGGCAAATACACTCATGAACTACATTTCCCTCTTGACAGGAGGGCCGAGAATCAACTGATTTCTAGAAGTAGGCGTTCCATTAGGTTACAATGATCGGTGCAAAGAATACTGGAAAAATATACCCGCGGCAGTCATAAATCAGCGGGCATTTTGTGCTATGGGTATGAAAAAGGTGGCCCAGATTCATGCACGGTAAGACACGGTTTTAACAAATAGATACCCTGCTCTGTAGACAAAAGTCATGTTGAAATACCCAGTCATAAAATTTAGGAAATGAGTTTAATTCGTTTTTTTGAGATTTTTGGTTTGGTAAGGGAAATTGATTACATTGCATAATGTTCCTTAATAAAAATCAGTTATCAAAACAATCACCCTAGATTCTACCTCAACACGCTAAAAAAAAATAAATAAATAAAATAAAAACAATTACCTTGCTAGCGTTTGTTTTCCTACCACGCGAGGGAAAATTGAATATCGGCAGTCGCTTCGATGAAAGAACCTTCGATGCAAAATAAAGCCCCTTCAATTGGAAAACTATGCAATTGGTATGACATTCTTTGTATGATCTGTTGCATAACCGTCATTTTGAAGGAAATCTAAGATACTTTCTCAGCCGTTTCCAAAGCTGAAAGTCCACAGACAGAATAAGTGCAAAAAATTTCCCCGTCTTGGTTGTGGCCAACTTTTACCAGAATATCCATCTACCTGCATTTCACGTTGTCTAAGTTTATCACTTAGGTTTTATTTTATCGCCAGAAAATTGAACAATTTACCGTCTCGAGACCTTTCGTAAATTTCCCGTTAATAACGAAGAGCAAAATCATAAAAATTCAAGTACGAATATTTGTTAAAGTTCTGTTAGAAAAATGAGACATGAGGAGAAACTTGCCAATCAGGCTAATTTTAGTTGAAATCTGGCCAAATAATCGATTTTCCATGAGGGCGTCTATACTTCACCTACACTGCTTAAATATACTACATAGTATTACGATGAGGAACATAGGTGTCATTAATTTACCTGTATGTAGATAGGAGATTTTCTGCATGAGCCAAGAAAAAAAGTTCCTGACTGCCAAATGTAGTCCAAATATCGATTGTTTTGCATGAATTCAAATGTATAAAGTGATGTATAGCGTCACCCACTATCGAATTGCCTGATATATCATAGTCACGCAAAAAATAGTATTTTCTGATGACAGAACTTTTTATTCACAAGGCTCCTAAACTTTCTTTTTTATACTTACGGAACTTTTCTGTCGTGAGAACAGAACTTCGGTCGTAAGCACAGAGCACTCTATCCTCATAACAAACACTTCTGTGTCTGTAGCAAAGAAAGTTAAGGAGCCCTGTGAATAGAACTATTTTTTCAGTATGTCCTCTACCGTGTAACAGAGAAACGTCACATGTGCCTTCAAAGGTTGCAACTTTTCCTTTGATAAAACACACAATTTCCGGGAAACTTGTGAATATTATAACCGCAATTTAATTTAAAATATCCAAAACTCTCGAGGAAAAATATTAATACCATGCACTGGAAGAAAAAAACACATTGGATCTAGAGTCCAGACTCTTGAAAACATTGACAAGAAAAAGGACTCTTGATTCAGTCAAGTTTAAGCTTAAATCAAAGGGAAATCCGCTCAAATTAAGAGGCTTGGTTCTTGATTTAAGCTTAAATCTGATTGAATCAAGAGTATTTTTTCTTGTCGATGTTTTTAAGAGTCTGGACTCTAGATCCAACGTGTTTTTTTTTCTCCAGTGTGTTTGAAAAATACATACTATATTGAGGGAAATTTGGCACCATTCGAATGTTACGGTGTTCCTAAGCACGGTCGTAATTACATCTAGAACACCACATGCGTAGTGATGAACCCGACTTTCTCAAAAACTTGGTACAAGGTTTTTTGCGCCTTCTTATGAGCGAACTCCCTTCCCTCCTGGAGGATCTCCTGCAAATAGGTTATGTTCTCCCTATAGCGTCGATAATCCTCCTGAAAATTCTGCAACCAATAGAGTACGTCCTCCGCGGCTTGAGACTTGAAACGCCCGTAGTTGAATCCCTTGGTCATTTCCTCCACCTCCGAGATGCTGGAATCGGTGATACCGGCGACGATCTGGATGAGGTTGGAGATCCCTGGTTTTTTTACGACGTCGAAGCGGACCACGGGCGGATTGTCGGAGTCCGTGACGGCGCCTTTGATCTTCTTGGCTGCCACCGCGGGGTCGTCCAGGAGGAAGATGGCGTTGTTGGGGTTGGGGTCCGATTTGGACATCTTCTTCGTGGCGTTGAGAAGGGACATCACACGGCTGCCCTCGGCACCTGCGGGGACCAGTGGTTCCGGGATCTGGAACAAGTCGGTGTCGTACGCCAAGTTGAAGCGTTTCGCGATGTCGCGACACAGCTCCAGGTGTTGTTTCTGGTCCAGGCCTACTGGAACCTGGAAATTGAAAAATGTAAGCGCTCAGCCGAAGAGATCCAGCTTTATAAGTGGATTGCATTTAGCAAAAAGGTGCATTGCATGAAAGCAACAAATGGTTTTCAGCTTTATTTCTATGCTGGAGTATCAAATTGAATCAAAGCAAGAAATTATTTTTGGGGAGCATTATTAGTCTGATCTCCCCAACTTAAAAAATTACTACAAAAATCGATTTCAACTGACTCTATTGTCGAAAAAACACTCTACGATGTAGATTTTCTCTCCAAAATCAAGGATTAGATCATGCAACAAAGGGTTAAATGTTGCTGGGATTGTGCACAGATAAAAATGGATGGTGCTGACGACAGAACCTTCTGTTCACTACTCTGTTAACTCCACCGAAGTTCTGTTCTCACAACAGAAAAGTTCTGTAAGTGTAACAAAAAACTGCAGGAGCCCTGTGAACAGAAGGTTCTGTCGTCAGCACCATTCATTTTTTCCATATCCATTTCTCTCTTTATAGAGAGAGTTAGGACAAGGCGGCTCATGGATGTCACAAAGGGGAGTAAAGATTACACAAATCGGACGTTTTTTGTAATTTTTGATCAGTTTATTCCCAAATTCCTGTCTCCGTTCCCTCTCTCATTCCATTTGTTCCTTGCCATACTCCCCATTCCCCGGTCCATTCCAGTTTATAATCTTTGCAATTGGTGAAAATGTAATCTTTATTCCCGTTTGTGACACTGTGGAAGCCTATAAAATACGAGAACAAATCAGAAATTGATTCGCATTGTCTTACTCTCAGTAAAGGGACTCTAGTTTCAACCAATAGGATCGCTCCATACTCCCTATATCTTCTTTGTCTATAGCTTTGTCTAGAGTCCCTTTGTACCCAGAGTTAAGACAACTCGATTATCAGCTGACTGTCAGCCGGCCTTGGCTGGCCATGGAGGCCGAAATGAGTGCACCCAAACGAACGATATTGAGGGATAAGGATCAGGAATCCTGCGATGTCTGTCACACAAAAACAACAACATCAACAAATTGATCAATTAAAAAGAAAATGAGATTGGCTTGTGAATAATTTCTTAATCTATTTTCATTTTGGACCGATGGCAATAACAATTTACTCTTAATAAACCACAATTAGGTAATATTTTCATTATTCTTGTTCACATTCAAGGTACCGCCATTTTGGTGCACTCGTTTCGGCCTCCATGAGCGAGAACCAATCAGAATTGGATTTTTTTTTAGGCCACTTTCAGCCCAACCCTGGCCCAACCAAAAGTGAGTTGTCTTAACTCTGGGTATAAAGGGACTCTAGCTTTGTCTATCAATTTCAACAATCAGCTCACAGTGGAGGGTCTCTTCGTCTCTGGACTTACCTTATTGGCCTGATATAGGAGGATGTCAGCAGCCATGAGAACCGGATATTCGAACAAGCCTGCGGTGATGGTCTCCCCGTGGTTCACAGATTTCTCCTTAAACTGCGTCATCCGGTTCAGCTCCCCGACATAAGCGTAGTTGTTGAGAACCCACGCGAGTTGGGCGTGCTCCGGTACCTGGGACTGTAGGAAAATGGTGCTTTTCTTCGGGGTGATCCCGCTGGCGAGGTAGATGGCCAGGGTGTCCAGTGTCGCCTTGCGGAGCTCTGCAGGCTCCTGGTGCTTGGTGATGGCGTGGAGATCGGCGATGCAGAATATGCAGTCGTAGTCCTTTTGGAGTTTCGCCCAGTGACGCAGGGCCCCGAGGTAGTTGCCGATTGTCAGGCCGCCACCGGACGGCTGTGCGGCGCTGAACACGACGGGCTGTGCCACGCTGGGTCCGATGGGCTTTCCGTCTTTGTATCTAGGCTGTGGGGAATAAAATTTGAATTAGAATGAAGCAAAATAAATATGAGGGTTCTGGATTGTGTCCCCCTGGCAGAAAACGCAGAGGACGCCCTGCCAAATCGTGGATTGAGGGAATGGACCACTAGATAAGGTACAAATTTCAGCAGTCTGACACATGTTTCTTAACAAAAATTTTACGTAAAACACGATACACACAACGAAAATAACCGAAATTAACTCCTGACGAAGATATTCTATGATTCTTGATGCGTGAATTCAAACCACCCTCTCATGAAAACTCAATGCTCTACGTGATTCACATCGCGCGCTAAACGTTATTATGACAGTCTCTGCGATATAAAAATCTGGCAACCTCAATCTTGACGCTTTGGCTCAGTTATAGCAAATTGCTAATAGTTTGAACAACACATGGTGGGAAATGAACATTGCTTGATCACGCTTTTCTACGTCAAATTCTGGTGAAGAAACATGTATCAGATCGCTTAAATTCGTACCTTGTCTAGCGGTCCAGTAGGCAGGAAATGAGGAGATGCGATCTGCTGGAGAAGTTCTGGCAGGATCGCTACCAGTGGTGGCTGGGTGTCACAGAGCGCACAGAAGCGGGCATGATGAAGGGCTTCATATGGTTTCCAATATGAATTGGTGAGCTTTAGAGAGATTCTTAACACAGTATAATAAAAAAAACAATTTTTACGAATCTCGAGTTACTTCGAAAATAAATCCTGACGGTGATTCGACGGTTGCCATTTTTTGTGTCAGAGCGGTATATCGCTTCAATTCGTTCCATAATTTCAGCTACTTGTCATTTTTTCGAATTTTGAGATCGCACTTCTGTTGTCATGAGACTAAAAAATTCATGTACCAAATTTGACAAAGAAATTCAACGTATTAAAGGCAGGGTTTTTTTTTTTTTTTTTTTTTTTTTTTTTTTTTTTTTTTTTTTTTTTTTTTTTTNTTTTTTTTTTTTTTTTTTAAAGAAAAAATATCTCTTTCGATACAGACATCGAGACTGCACTCTAATACGATATTTTTCCCCTTTTTTCCCCGGATTGTGATGGAAACGTTCACATCAATGATATTTTTCGAACTTAATTTACTAATATTCTTGCTTGTTTTGCAAGAAATGGAGGATAAACTTTGCCCCTACTCCTACTTACATTCAACTAAAATTCTAATTTCTCATATGATTGTGTGATAAATGCAAACCTTTAGCAGGGCCGGATTTACTTACTTGCCACCCATGGGCCGCCTGTATTTTTCCGCCCCCTTCTCATTTGTTTTGAAACATCAATAGATCGTATTCGACAGTGGTTCGATGTATTGTTTGGTTCAAAACAATAGAACATAATCTCAAACAAATATTTTAGAAAAGCTGAAAATGAGAAAATTCCTGATAATTTCACTTTTCATTGCCATTTGGTACTCAAGAGAATAAAAATTCGATCACATAAGACCCGTTACCTCAGATTTCTAAATTGACTTTTGAGGCTGTGGTTATATATTGAACCAATTGATATCAATATAATCTCACCTGTGTGATCTGTCGAATACGATCTATAAAAACCATCAAGTGAACGTGCCGGTGGAGGAGTGGTGTATGAGACGCGTTTACTCGAGTTGGGCACATTTTTTGTGAGAGCCCTATCAACACTATAACCAAAGGTCAGTTCCGTAAACCCATCCCTGTTTGGACAAGACCTTCCAATTATAAAAAACGAACGAAAAAAATTATGAAAGAACAAACATAAATGTGGTTAAAAATTTTAACTTCCACCGCGCCGCGCCGCGCCGACCGCACTGTATTGGCGCAACGCGTGAAGTATTCATGCAGTCTTGTAGGCGCTATGCATTTTATGCCGACTGCCGCGCCGCTCCGTTCCAGGTCAAATTGCGTGTTTGGTTTCTCTCTTAACTCGACTAGGTCGTCTCTTGTATCACCGAAAGACGACACAATTAGAAATTACTGTACTTTTACTCTCAGGAAATGAGAGATTTTGTCGCCTTTACTCGCCTGTAATTTATTTACTGAATCGGATTTTTTCTCTCTTTTTTTGATACCTACATTCAAAACAATTGCAAAATTTGCCGCCCCCTAAATTTTGCCGCCATGGGCCGCGGCCCATGTGGCCACCTTTTTAATCCGGCCCTGACCTTTAGGAGTGGATTTTACACCGAATAAAATAAATAAACTTCAGACTTGCATTATGGAGCCCCGCTTTATTTTCAGACTAAAAAAACCAGACTTCTCAGAGGAAGTTGTTTGAATTTTGGCCCTTTCCATTTAATTCAAACCAAGAAGGACAAATGCATGAAAAATATATTTTTCCATATAATAATTCAATCAAGTTCCTCACCAGTTTGCCATCTTCAGTCAGCCATGTTGCTAAAGGCCGCTGCGAATCAACCTAAAACAGGAACAAGATTTCAATATACTGAAAATGTCCCAGATCATTTTATTATGAGCCAGGTATTGGTAAGCTAATCTCATGAAATAGTTTTAATACGAGTTGCAACACTCTACAACCAGGAACTACACTTACTTTTCTTGCATGGCTCATTTTAGTTACAGCATTAAACTTATGCCATTAATTTCTCTATGCGAATATACGCACTTCTTGGGATGAGTCAGAAACAATATAATAACTCCATTTTGCAAAATGTTGCCCAACTCTGAAATTAAGCTCGATTATAGAAAAAAGGAGATCTGTGGGAAAAATGACTTGTGATTTCCATCACCATAATTGTTTTGGAGTTATAATCCAATATTCACTGAAAAAGTTCTTAACATCAATAGAGAATTTACAGTTGTCTGAAATTTGATGAACTTCGTGTTTAAGTGGAAGCTACTAAGATAACTGAATATAAGGATACCTTCGGTTCATGAATTGAACAATTATTGGGGAAGATATGACAAAATGATCTAATCTGCTAAAATACGCATGTGTTTAGATGGGAAATGCCGCCAGATGACGTCACCAGGCGGTGCATTTTCTCACTTTTAAATCTATTTTTATACTTTTTCCCATATCAAAAAAAGTATATAAAAGCTATTAAATCAACTCTTTAAGCACTTTCAGATGATGCGATTAAAAAAGTGCATGCAAATTCTCGATTATTGACGTAGTTATTGCAAAAAGTATAAATATCAAGAATTTTTAAGAAAATGCCTTTTTATTCGGAATTTATCTGATATGACATATCACATTGTTCTTATCTAAGTGTGACTGAGAATCCAATTTACTACAAATAGGTTACTTACCCGCAAGAACATGAATGAAATCAAAATCACAATTAACACTTTTGTGATGGATAACATTGTAATGAAGTAACAAATCACAGATGAGTAAATTCAGGACACTTTTTTGCCACACAGGTATCGAATCTAACCTCTCAGGCTTTTGAACGCAACAAAGTATAGTGTTAATCAAGAGGCAGGATTCAATACGTAAGAGAATCAGTAATCAGATGATGAATATTCAATCAGTTTAATGGAGGCGACAGAAATTATCTCAATGTAAGCATTGCCCGAGTAACACTCTATGAATCATCTAGTCGTTAGCCAAAAATATAACTCGTTCAGTCGTTTCGCTTACTTATTTTTCGTTTCTATCCAACTCAAACAGATACTTAGACACTGCACATTTTCTGGAAAAAACCCTTTTTTTTTTTTTTTTTTTTTTTTCTTTGGAGGTAAGAATGAGCAACGCAGCTAGCGCGGATATGGGTCACTAAAACCAACTTCGTCGGTGTGTCACGCGTTGTCCGGCCAGTTCGGTAATGACCATCCGATGAAAAGGATCTCAGAGATTCATAGCTACTACGGAAATCAACATTTCGATAGTTTCATTTGTTTAAAAACAGATTGCTGACATATACAGGGTGATCCAGGAGCCCGGCACCACCAGTGTAATTATTTTCGAACCGATTGAGCCAAAGACTTAAAATTTGGCCCGTAAGTTAGAAAAAACTACTTTTGAGGCCCCCCAAGATTTTGGGGAAACCAACTTGGAAGGAAGCACGGACCTTACACGTTTTCAAATAGAACCCCCCCCCCCCTCGTTTGTGATACTTCATTTTAAAAAAACATAGAAAATTCAGAATTTTTGTTCAAATCGCAAGTCTCTTTATCACCGTCTTACAATGGTGGCCAATGAAGATTTGCTTTGTGAACGTTGTTAGCCCACCATTCTCAATTGGTGATGGATTCAATCCAGAAAACGTCCCCTAAAAAGTGGAGGACGACGCACAGTGGATCGAGTCAATCAGAGTGGTCGGGCTTGAAATTTTTGATTAAAACTGCAAATTTTGATGTTTATTTCGTCATATTTTAAAGTTTAAGGTGTGCTTCTTGGAGATAACTTCATGAGGAAACCAATGAAATCACTTTTAGAACCTTAAAAATTTGTATAAACGGAGTTATAAGCGTTTAAAGTTTCCAAATTTTGTCCGACTTCCCCTATCGACTCCATCCAATGTGGGACGGGTGGCGGGGGCTGCTGCCTAATATGGTAAACGCTAGTTTATCTAATTCCAGTGGCAATATCTACCGGCATTTTTTATAGAAAAGTTGAAAATTTCAAGAGAAAAGTTATGAACTCTTTAGGAAACAAAGTGCCTTTATTCGGGTGGTTATTCCCATCATCAGGTTGTCCCCAGAAAGTGGTCTCGCTCGTGAATTTTCTAGATTTTCCTACCTTTCATGGGAATTTAAATTTTTGGTGCAGTTAAAAGACTATGATTCGGTTTCTAACATGACAGTAAGGTCATTTTTCCCGAACGCCAATGGGCCTGTTGCAAACTTTTGCTAGAGCAAAAATAAGAGTTGTTTCTTCTAGATAATGCCTCAAAAATCACGATGAGCGCATCGGCAAAGTCTGAAATGCACTCATAACTTCACAGTCTGCGTAAGAAATTTGCGGTTTTTTGAGCTTCCCGCTTCAAAAGCGATACTACGGCACAGGTGAACATTTTGTAAAAGGAGTCGTTCCATCGTCGGCAATACTCATCATGGCCGACGCCAATCCGCCAAAACACGTGTGATGGGACGAGATAATACCTGAACTGGATTAGACCAGATAACAATCGGCGTGTTTTAACGTTCATGTTTTCCACGCCCGAATTGATTGACCTTGAACTCTCCTTGAATCACGCGCGGAACTGCGCGCAATAAGCGTCGGCCATGATGAATATCGCCGACGATGGAGCGACTCCTCTAACAAAATGTTCACCTGTGCCGTAGTATCCTTTTTGAAGCGATAAGCTTAAAAAAACGCAAATTTCTTACGCAGATGGTGAAGTTATGAGTGCATTTCAGACTTTGCCGATGCGCTCATCGTGATTTTTGAGGCATTATCTATAAGAAACAACTCTTATTTTTGCTCTAGCAAAAGTTTGCAACAGGCCCATTGCGTCATCTTATCTATCTTTATCGGTTTCAAGAAATAACATAAGGAAAAATTTTTTTGAAGAAAATCGTGTATTTCGTGTGAGCTGGGATGGTAATCCTGATTGCAATTCAATTTACGTCTGAAAAATTAATACCACTAAATATTGCATAGAGCCGGATCCAGCAATTTGGCAACACCAAATTTCCTCCATTTAAACCTTTGCTAAATAATCGATTCTTGTAGGAGCACCTGACCCCTCCAAGATTCGATACAAATTCATAGGTTTAAATGGAGAGAAGACAATGTTGCCAATTTCCTGGATCCGCCAATGATATTTCAACGAGTGAGAGAAATCCAAAAGTGGATTGCAGTAAGAAATACATTTATATGAAGAATTGTATATTGAATAATTGGATTGATTGACCACTGGATCGAGTCTAAATTTAATAAAAAAGCATGAAAGATTCATGTAAGGGATTAATTCAGTAAAATTACAAATGTCCTCGGAGGATGAATTTTCCCAAAATAGCACAGGGCATTCCGAATGATATGGTCCATTACCAACTGAACATATTTCTGACAAACGGAACTATGTGTATTATTACGCGAGTCCTCTTATGCATATTCTCATGACTCTCAGGATATCTCAGGACTCTCAGGATACCTATCTCAGGACTCATGTCTTAATGCACATAGTTCCGTTTGGCAGAAAGACGTCCAATTTAGTAAAAGCTCCGAGATACTGTGTAAAGAATGATGAAATAATGAGACAAATGTAAATACCAATATAAAAGTCTTTATTCAATGTTGCATGGGATTTCATCCATTTTTACAGTATAAAATAAAAACAGCAGTCGATGATTTTGCAAAAATTACAATGAAGCCCACATGGTCTAATGGAAAAGAAAGCCAATCAAATCTTCAACTTGTCAGATTTTTCTATGCTATATTCATACCGATTTCAGCGTTTATATTACATACAATAGCTCATGGAGTTGAAGAAAGTGTATCGAGGATGTAGAGGGGGCTTTCTTTTACTTCCGGGTTGCGTATAGGTTATTCGAGAGAGCTCCAGAAAATGTCAGAAACACATGCCGTGTTTCTCCATGCAACCCTCCCGCCCAGCGCCCGAGAGAATATAGAGACGGCCCTCTCTACCGGCCGCCACTGCAGCGCTTACATACAGTAATTGCTGCACTTACAGACAGTAACACAGCAGACAGACAGAGATTGGAATGAGCCACAGCAGCATATTGGGCATAGTGTTCCAGGCGGCATTCACTGTGGTATCCTGTGGACAAAATTCGAAAAAGCCGCGTTTTTATGAAAGGAAAAGTTCGATTTTCCCACTTTGAGCTGATAATCTAAGATGGAGGTCATTTTTGAAATGATAATGATTTTGGTAATATCCGCCAATTCCGCGAATTGACATGTTTTGGAGGTAAAGAAAAGGACGTATTTCTGCCAAACGGAACTATGTACATTATGACGTGAGCCCTGTTATGCATATATTCTTTGATGAGTGATGCAAATGACCGGTAGATTGAAGACAGGGATGCTATGAAGATTTTATTAATATGAAAGTGCAGTTTGAGAGGTGAGAAAGAGGGAGGGGAGGTCAGGGTACCCACCAATGGGGGCTGGCGCTTTTGCAGAGTATGCATCATCTCTTGGGACAGTTCATTTTAGCGTCCATGAAACGACGCAACTTGATTGGTTTAGTGTGAAGGTGAGTAATTATCTACAAAAATTTCATAAAGTTTTAATTTTTGAAATTTCCGCAGATACCTGTAAATTTGTGCTTTAAACGACAGAAATTGTGAATGAAACTTCTGAACAACTATAATAGCTTTTAACAAGATTTTAAAAAAATGAAAATTTGACGAGTAGTTTTCGAAATACAGCGCGCTGAAAAGACGCTTAACATCTTAACTCCTGCACGGATCCCAGAGTACTCCTCTGTCTGAGAGCTTAAAATGACTATTGGTATGAACCCTGATAGAGGCAATTTTTTTTTTTTTTTTTTTTTTTTTTTTTTTTTTTTTTTTTTTTTTTTTTTTTTTTTTTTNTTTTTTTTTTTTTTTTTTTTAATGCTCCGTGTACTACATACAGAGATGGTAAACCTCACTGAAAAAAAACAAATTGGATCTAGAGTCCAGACTCTTAAAAACATCGACAAGAAAAAGTACTCTTGATTCAATCAGAATCTAGCTTAAATCAAGAGCCAAGCCTCTTAATGTAAGTGGATTTCGTTTTGATTCAAGCAAAAATCCGATTGAATCAAGAGTATTTTTTCTTGTCGATGTTTTCAAGACTCTGGACTCTAGATCCAACGTGTTTTTTTCCAGTGCTTACTTAATGATCTTGAGGTCAGAATTCGTCCCGCGTTTGCTGTGATGACGTAGTTACCTCTGATTGAGCGTCTATCAATGACTGCCAGAACTCCAATCTTTTCGAATATAGATTCTCTTTCACTGCCGGCTCTGCCGTGATGTGTAGGTACTGATTCGTCTTCGCCGTTCTTCTTACTGGCTGCAACTTTGAGCCAATACCGGTCAGTTTCCTAGAAGGTCGGACAAAGGAAAACGAATAAGAATTGATTCAGATGAAATTCTAAAATTGCAGTTATATTGAAAATATATATCGAAGCTGAGATAGAGTCCTTGCGAGCGTCAGGGGTTTGCGATTTAAATATCGTGTCTTACGCAATTGTTTACAAGAAACTTGATGGTATCGTTGGTATTCTCTGGCTCAAAAAAGCTCTCAAAGTTGCACTGGAAAAAAAACACATTGGATCTAGAGTCCAGACTCTTAAAAACATCGACAAGAAAAATACTCTTGATTCAATCAGATTTAAGCTTAAATCAAGAACCAAGCCTCTTAAATTAAGCGGATTTCCTTTTGATTTAAGCTTAAATCTGATTGAATCAAGAGTCCTTTTTCTTGTCAATGTTTTCAAGAGTCTGGACTCTAGATCCAATGTGTTCTTTTCACCAGTGTGAGGTCGTAATAAAGGGGATTCCTCACTCTACACTTAGAGCACACCTCTATATCTTGTCAAACTCTCTTGTCCCAGAGAGGGGACGGACAAATTGGCAAACTTACCGTAGTTCCAGCCTCAGGGTCATTGAAGAAAGTGGCAACCCTGTTAGTATATTTGCTTTCTATCTGTACAGTGAACATGAACAGTTTGAAGAGATAAAGAGGTGAACTCACGACGTAGAGAGGGGGATCCCCGTCATTTCGGCCTCAACTTTGAGAGCCTTTTTTAGATTGTGAGTTTGTTTCAAAGAAAACCAGTATGACACCATCGTGTTTCTCAAGAAATTTTAATCAAGATAAATTACCTAAATTGCAAATATCTGATGCGTGAAGAGTAATAACTCATTTAGTGGCATTTGAGGGAGTCAAATGAATTAACAAGACTAGTTTTGCAAAAATGTGTTTCACCTCTTAAAGATTTCGTTCAGCTTTGGAGGTCAGCATAGGCATATTTTCAGCGTCTAAATTTAATACAGTATTTTTTGAAATTTTTTCAGCAAAATTAAACACCCACATATAAATCTAAGAAATTTTTCCCAGACGCGTGCCAAAACTGAGCGAATGGATTTGGGTTGCTTTTACAAAAGGCGCAATGAAACTACCCTTCACAATGAATTAAATGTAGAAACAACTTGATAGGGAACTCACCCAATTTTGGCAAAATCCGTTACTATATCAAGAGTTTTTCTTGAAACTTTGATATCATCTTCCGTATATTTTCTTTCCGGGAAGTACATGGTAAGTGGGAAAATATCGAGTAAATCATCTGCATGTGATACACCTGCAAATCGAAATGAATATACACTATGAAAATAGAGAAAATATGCGGAAACTCGAACTGCAAAAAATCAAAAGAGAGAGAGGGGGGAGGAGCGGAGAAGACACGGAGAAAGGGATATTTCGACCGTAGAAAGAGGGGACTAAATGCAAAAAATTAAACACTGCTCCGATAAATGTTTTTAAACATTTTGAATTACGTCGCTAAAAACTGACAAACAAAACGATTGTAACTCTGAGAAAAAACCTATCCAGTTATAAGAGTTGTTGGCTTCTGGGTATTTTTATAAAAAGGCAGTTCAACTGTTTTTGGGGATGAGAAAAAGACAGAAAAGAAAATTATTTCCTTGATTATCATAATGTAACCCACCCTTGATTCTGCCTCCGCTGAAAACGTCGTTGAAAGAAATGCTGTGTAGGTGATCGTACAAATAAAGGTACGCATCTCCATGGTGCTTCTTAGCCGATTCCACGGCGCCATGTAGAAACCATCTATCCGTGAACATCTATAAAAGTGATAAAAAAGAAAAGGAAATGTAAGAGTTGGCGAATCTAAAGTTTAACTTTTTTCGCATTATACACATATTTTCCATAAAATAGAATTTCTCCCCAAGAAGGTCGTTTGATGAAAGGAAAATTTAGATTTTCCCACCCTGAGCTGATAAAGCAATATGGAGTTCATTTTTCAAATGATAGCAATTATTTTGATTTTTTTCATTTTTCAATGATGATGATCTTCTCGGGTAAAGTCTCTAACCTAAGGGGAAAAATTATGTTTCCTTTTTCATTTATTTTCTTTTTAAATTTTTATCTTTTTAATTTGCTTTGATTAATTTTTTTTCAAATAACGGGTTGACTAATATGAAAATTATTTTTTTCCTGCTATTAGTGGAAGACTGATTTAAACGATATCTTGAGTCGAACCAACCACTAACTCTCTCACTCACTCATCAATGTACTGATTTTGGCAATATCCGCCAAAACCGCGGAATGACATGTTTTAGGAGGAAAAATATCTAATGATCTATTTCCCCGTTATGCACTCCTTTCTGATTAAAAGGAATCGGAGATGGGTGGAAAAGAAGGAGTGTGCTCGTTAGTTGAGGGCCGCACGAATGAACAGGGCCGGATTTAACTATTTGCCGCCCACGGCGAGCCGCCTGTATTTTGCTGTAAGTGAATGTGCCAGAGGAGGAGCGGTGCAAAAGACGCGTTTACTCGTGTTGGGCACATTTTTTGTGAAAGCCTTGTCAACACTAGCAAAAGTTCACGGAACTTTGCCCGAAAATTAAGCTCCGTAATCCTATCTCTGTATGGATGAAGCCTTCCATTTATATGAAATGAACGAAAAAATTATGAAAGAATAAACATGAATGTGGTTTAATGATTTTAATTTCCGCCACCGCGCCAACCTCACTGTGTTTGCCGCAATGCGTGGCGTATCCCTACGGTCTTGTAGGCGCTATGCGTTTCACGCCAACCGCTGCTGACCGCACTACGTTTGACGCAATGCGTGAAGTAATCATGGAGTCTTGTAGGCGCTACTATGTGTTTCATGCTGACCGGCGCGCCGAGGACTTCTCCTTTCCATCTCAAGTCCGCGTCATCATTGCTCTCTGCGCCGCGCCGCTCCAGGCCAAATTGCGTGTTTGGTTTCTCTCTCAACTAGACTAATGAAAAGTGCTGTCTCTGCTATCACCGAAAGACGAACAAATTAGAAATTACACTTTAACTCTCAGGAAATGAGAGGTTTTTTCGCCTTTTCTCGTTTGTGATTTTTTTCTGAATCGGATTTTTTTCTTGGTACCTACATTTGAAAAAAAAATACAACATTTGCCGCCCCCTAAATTTGCCGCCATGGCCGCGGCCCATGTGACCACTCCCTAAATCCGGCCCTGCGAGTGAATGGGAATTATAAAGCGCCAGTGACGTCAGCAGCGACGACGGAGACAATGATCCGGATTTGAGTTGATAACTTATGAGCCCTGTCCACAACACTCTTGTCACTCGGCCACGGCTCATGAGATATCTTCTTTTGGCTCATAGTTTCTTTTGATTTAATGTAAAATCCCTTTTTTCCATTTTTTCAAAAGGAATCACGCCCATTTTTACATTGTTTCTAATGCAGCTTTCACGAGCACACCCCATCTTTCTCCTACGTCATGAATCAGTGGCGAGGCGTGAATGCAATTATCGATATTTCCCCATTTGAAGCTATGGTGAAGAATCGATTATATTAAGGTGTTCGTTGCGAACACCCTTATTTGCGATCCTTTTCCATAGGTTTGAATGGTAGATCGATCGATATATCGCAAAGCACGCCACGCCACTGGCATGAATACGTCCGTATGTATAAAGCACCAGATCGTTATTTGGACTACATTTTGCAATTTGGAACTATAAATTCTGGCCCGGTTAAAAAACAACGTATGTGCCATTAGTTTCCATATGCACATAAGTGTTTTTCCAGAGGAGCCAGAATTTATAGTTCCAAATTGCAAAATGCAGTCCATTTATTCCTAGCAAACAGTATAAATAGGTATATTTTAAAATAATTTAACTTACGTTGACGACTTCTTGACTTGTATTATCCAGATCTATAGGCTTGTCCCCGAAGTAAAATTTCCGAACTTGCTCTGCTACACTTGAATGTTTGTCGCTCGGAAAGTCTGACTTCAGCAACAGTGCTTTCGATAAGACATACTGCGGATTTTCTTTCAGTTCTTTCTCGAATCTACTTCCTCCCCTGGATATAACTGTAATAAAAAATAAAGCATATCGATCGATAATCCTAAACCTTTAAAGATATTTTTGTTCGTAAATTCTGTGATTTGAAATTGCAGTCTGCAAAGTTTGGAATTATTGATGATTCAACTGCAAAAAATTGAGCAGGAATTTTTTAAAAAAATTAAATTTTAAATTTCTGCAAGTAAGCCATAAGTTTTTGCACTGCAGCTCCAAGATTTGATGTAATTAAATTAGAACACGCTGCCGAGCTCAGGAAAAACACCGTATGAGCCTTCAGGCGTTGCCAAATTTACCCTGGCAAATAACTAATTTTCAGGAAAATTTGTGAAAATTTTTCTGCCAATTTCTTAGATAATCTTCTTTGTAATATGATCTGAAAATTCTGAAAATTTCAAGAAAAAATATTCATAATTTTCCTCAAAAATAAACATATTATCGAAGAGAATTTGGCAGCTCTCGAATGTTCATATGCGGCGTTCTTCCTTGGCACGGCAGAATGTTATTAACAACAGGGGGTGGAGCATCGGGTACAGTATCACTGAGAAAACTTCAGTTACCTAGACTGATAACTTTAATGTTCCACATGAACTGATGTTAAGTCTTTATAGCCCAAGGTTTTTTCCTTCGAGAACTACCTTATGTCCGAATAATTTGCTGTTACTTACTTGATGCAAAAATACCTCCCTCGCCAGAGGTTAGTCCTGTCATGTAAGGAATTTCGGATCCCAACTTATCTAATTCTTTCGGAAGGAAAGCATTTTCCGTTTCGGACTCGATGGTTGGTACGAAAACAAGATCACCAACGATCCAGTCCTGTGAAAAGAGAGAGAGATAAAAAAGTGTAAGCAGAAAAATATACACATATTTTTGCTTTTTTAGAATATGGAAGGGTCCCTCATCTGATACGATGATTTAAGTTTTTCAGATTCTCACAAAATTTCTCTTAGAAGAATCTCAAGCTTCTCACAAGTAAATGTCTTCACGTCAAGAATATATAATAAAATAGAATTTTAAAAACAGCCAAATTGCATTTGGTGTTCTGTGCTTTAATTTTCTACTGAGCACTTTCATGTACTAATGACGCTTAAACTAAGTTCAATTCCAATTTCAAATTCAAGACAAATCAAAAACTGCCCAAGCACAACCGCAGCATTTTACCATTATGATTACATATTGCAATAAGAAATTACCAGCGTTACAATTTTGCTATTAAACCACGATTATACGACCAACGCGACTGCTTGAGGCAATACAGTAGTTACTGATTTAAAAATATCCAGTCCAAGTATTGAAAAAAAAAACAGGGCGAATTTATCAATGAAATTTTCTTACATTGAATTTTTTGCCCATCTCTAGGAGTACGTCAGCTGGGACCTTCCGCATGCATTCAGCGAGTTCGTTTGAGGGCTCAGTGGGACAGCTGCACAATACAGCCAGTGCTTTTGTCCTATCTTTCGCCAACTTTGGAGGTGCGATTGCCCACGGACCATATCCAGTCCCGCTCATTGCAATTACCCTATGAATCCGACCTAGATCAGGGAAAAAGGAACTAGGTTAGACTCAATTTGTGTACGGTTAGGTAACGTTCATTTGGACGTATTTCTATCAAACGGAACTATGTGCATTGAGACATGAGCCCTGATACCCATAAGAATACACGCATAACAGGGCTCACGTCATAATGCACATAGTTCCGTTTGATAGAAATACGTCCATTTGTGACTGGAACTGAGAAAAAAACCCTTTGCACCGAGCTCGCAAACTTAGTCGTAATGGGAGAAGTAAGAAGTTGTTGGCGAAGCACCTTCATTTTTTTGAGAATGCAACACGCGGGTGACACCCGAGAACGAATAGTTGAGACTGAAGCACTACCTTAAAACGTACATCGTCTGAGATTCCAATTTAAAAGCCCATTGTGTTATTTTCGGCATTTGTAGATGAAACTGAATTTTTCTGTAGGGCCTCTGCGATATTAGAATCATTATTGGGCCAACTTCACTGCAAACATTGATAGTATTGAAATTCTGTATGCACCCAGGATTTTACACAATATGGGGTCTATAGAAGGACGTCGAGTGAAATACTTTTTATCGTAATTTTAAAAGTGATTTCCGTTTTTTCTTGCCACGTACATTGCACATATCTCATCGCGGACAGTACATAGTTCCTTTGGTTCAGCAAACAATCGCTGCATTCGTAAATGTTTTACAAAAATCATGGCACGAAAAACACTTTAAAGTGTCAAAAAAATTGCGTTTCCTTAGTTACCTTGCTTTCAATGTATTCTCACTCTTCTCTGCTATGTGGCTCTTCCTATACATATATTTGTTATTCATCCTCCTTTTTCCTATTTTTCTTTCTCCCTGATCCCACATTATCACCTTCACCCCAGCGTAATGATGGTTAGAAGTTTGCAATTGAAAAAATACAGTTATTATTATTAATATTATTTTTTTTTACCAATTTTTTAGACCGAAGTGAGATTGTTTTGTGGAGCCGAGAGAGGCCCAGCTTCCGAAAAACGTTATCACCCTATCAATCTTACGCCGCTGTATGATAAAAAAATATAAAGAAAAATAAAGCGACTGATTACGCCAACGAGTAAGTGCAGCTTACTCGTAGCTCGAATTCAGAATTCATAGAGAGAGACCAAAAACAAGGGAGAAATGGACATAGAAAACTCTATGAAAAATCACGTTGGGCTTCATGTGTCCGGAGTTTAGTGGTGCCGGAGTGGAGAAGTGTTCTGTGAAAATTACGAGACAAAAACTGTCCAAAAATGTCAACAAAGTGGAGTAATAATGGTTTGAAGTTTGAAATTCAATGGTTTGAAGTTTGAAATTTCGTGCAACTTCAAGACATCATTCCGTCACAAAAAAGGAGTGCACCACGCGGAACTTATTCTTTAAATCGCTACTGAGTGTTTTTTATGAGGATTCAAAATCCAATTTTACAAAACCTCCCTCGACAAAAGTTGTTCTTCCGAAATTTTTATTGGCGGACTGAGGTTTCTTTTTCCGCGGACAATGAAAACTAACAAATCAGCAAATAATCAATCAGTGCGCTTAATCAGTGTTAATTTTAAAAATAACAATAAACTGCACGATACCTACCTTTGTTGAGTGGTGACAATAGATTCAGATGGACGGCTCCACCCCCGGCACTCTCGCCGAATATGGTCACTAAATCAGGATTTCCACCGAAGTTAACGATATTGTCATGAACCCATTTGATCGCCAGGGCTTGATCCTTCAATCCAAGATTGGCGGGGATAGCGTTGTCGCCAGTGCTCAGGAACCCTTAGGTGAAAATAAGTAAAAAATTAAACCACAGGGCGAGTGAAGAGCCGTAAAAAACGAGACTTTAACAAAACTGTTTTTTAAAAAAAGATGAAGAAATAAAAGTTCATAACGTAACTATTTTAATACCGAAAAAGTTTACATCATTCTGCCATACTAAGGAAGAACGCCGTATAAACAATCGAGAGTTGCCAAATTTCCTTCGATGAAATGTTTATTATTGAGAAAACTTACGAATATGTTTCCTTAATATTTTCAAAAACTTTAGTTGAAATTGCGAGCAAAATTATGTGAAAAATTAGATGAAAAACTGTCATAAGTTTAGCAGAAAATTCGTGTTTCATCAAAGAAAATTTGGCAACGCATGAAGGTTCATACGGCGTTATTCCTTAGCACCGCAGTATTGGCCTCAGGGCTCTTTTTTTGGAACTGAATAGTATGCGTCAAGTCATCTTACGTTAACCACAAATTTTCGGCTGAATTCAGTTTTTTCAAAGTTCGGAACTTTTCGAAACGAGCTGTCATCAAGTGGTTTCGGCTCTCGATGCCGACCGTTCGCTTTCAAGTCCTCGAGATCTAATTCTTTTTTTACAGAGATCGAGCGAACCCTAATTTCGAGACGAGCACATGAGAGATAAATTGCCTTAAATTTTAAACTATCACTTCAGTCTCAACCACACACTTACCTAGAGCTCCCAGTCTATAGTTAATGGTGACCAACACCACATCTTTATCCAGTAGTAGCTCTGGCCCGTAGACGGAGCCAGCCCCCCACTGGAATCCACCGCCGTGTATCCAGACCATTACAGGGAGTTTCGCCGCTCTGTCCACCTATAGGGTATAAAACAGTGTTTTTACTTCTTTTAGGAGAATCAATCAATCTCGTGCACATCAAAATAAAGCGACCAAAATTTGATGTTGATATGGGAATTAACATTCACCCAAAATGTCGGCGGTCCGTATCTTTTAGCTAAACTGACCAAAATTTTTGGTTATTAAACCAAAACATTTGGATGAAATACCGAATGGAATGGTAATTGGAATCACGACAAAAGTATCCAAAATTTAATTTTTTTTCTTTTTTTTAATTAAAAATTATTTTATTAATTTCTACAAGTTGGAAGTAGCATGAACAGGTGCTACCCCGAAGGCCTGAAAGTACATACTAATGTGGGAAAGCACAATAATAAAATATAGGTCGGTCGCCGGATTATCTTATTAATTATAGGTGTCACACTTGATTAGTATGTCCCATATTTTGAACTAGAGAATTCTCTTAATGAAATTATAATCTACTTTATATTAGATAAAAACTTATCATCTACTACTTTACTAAGACTTTGGTTGTATTTCAACTGTTTTGTATATCTCTTGTAAAACCCATTGGGAGAAAATTTAGAGAAAGACGACAGATTAAGATTATCTTATCTACTTTAATCTAATTGATATTGTTTCAACTCTAGTGTCTCTCCAAAATTTAATTTTCATCTTTTGTTTAAAGCATCTTCAACTTTGATGTTCCTTGATTTTTCACCAAACCAAAAGAATCATTTCAGAATGACATTATTGGGTTTATGCAAAAAGCAAAAATGCAAGAATGCAAGAATTCAAAATGCAAGAATTTCATGAGAGAAGCTTAATTTTGTCCTTGCTCAGGAACTTACCTTCGGAGAATACACATGGAGGACGAGACAATCCTCTTGGCCGAGGGGTTGGTAATTACTTATGTTGGCAAAATCGGCTTGTGGACACATGATGGCATCATTTGTAGCCTGAAGCGGCTCTTTCCATGGATCTGCTGGTTGTGGCTCCTGAAAACATATCGGCAGAGGATGAGACTAAATGGTCATGACAATGCAAAAAACGCCTCTCAGCAAGGAGAATTTGTAGAATTTCGCTCAAAAAATCCAATTTTGGGTCTAATAAGATATTCATGAGCCAACCCAATACACGACGCGCATAGAGGGGTGACAGGTGGAAATTTCCAATACAAAATTTCCATAAACTGCGATGTCCAATAAAAAAAAATCAATTTCTTATTTGTCTTACTTAAACAAATTCCAAAAAAGTAAAAAAAAAAAATACTAAATAATAGAAAAGAATTTTGTGACCTAACCGAATGAAGTTGAAAACCGAAGTTCCGAAACTACATTTTCTTGCAACAAAATGGACACATCTTCTATTGGAACATAATTTTTGTAGGACACTTTTCAGTTAAAATATTACTTTCTTTAGGACATTTTTAACCGTGGACATTTTTTGGACACTCTTGTAATTGGAGATTTTAAGTACCTAAGACATTATTCTAATTGGACGTTTTCTACTGGACATTTCCACTGAGCACCCATAGAGGAGAATATTAATCAAAAATACAATTTCATAAAGCCCGTGAATGATTGTAGCGCCGATTGGTAAACAAGTAAGTATGATTGAGTAATGATGAGATGTTTTTAAATTAAATGAAAGTGGAGTAAGTGGTACTTATCAGACTAACCTTGAACCTGAGAGGTCCAATGGGAGGTTTTGCGAAAGGGATCCCTGTGAAACTGTGGATCACTCTTCCATCTCTCGTCCTCAGCGTATCAAATCCAATAATCTTCCCATTCGGAGTCGAAACTTCCAAAGCACAACAACTTAACACACAGCATCCAAAAATCAGAAAAAATGTTGCCCACGGTGATATCCCCATCGTGATAGAGTCACGTCTGCTCTTGAATGTATCAAAAGTGGCACTGGCAATCTGATCTTTCATATCTACAAATATATATCAAACTCAAAAGGATTGCAATAAAACCATTCGATGTAATGATGGTGCGAAGAGATTAAGTACTGAGTACGTGGATGTCATGCGTTTATCTTTAGAACGATGAGTACTACCTAATATTAGTAGACTCTGAGCAAACAACCATTGTAAATATGATTGCGATTTCAACATCCGATAACAAAGTTCCTGAGACCGGAAGATTCAATATCTTGCTTGATCTTGAAAAAACCAACTGAAAGGGAATCATGTTCGGGAACAGTAATATACATTTGGAAGTATTTATGCTAAAAGGAACTATGTGGAATTGGAAAAATGGCGGGTGCTCGCGGAAGCTGCATAAGAAACAATGTAAAAGTGGATATATAGTTCCTTTTGTGAAAATGGAAAAGCGGGATATGACATTAAATCAAAAGAAACTGAGCGCTAACTCGTGAGCCGTGAAAATGTGACAAGAGCGTTGTGGACAGGGCTCATGAGTTAAACACTAAAAAAACTATCGGCGTTTTTACCACGGTCCGTTGGTACCTTTACCATCTCACTTTTTTTACCAATTATTGGTAATTTTACCAAGACAGACTGGTAAGCTTACCTAAAAACCGGTATTTTTACTGTTTTTTTCAGGTGAGAATACCACTTTTATTGGTAATCAATTTCCGGTAACTTTGCCATTTTATCTCGGTAATTCTACCACAGTCACTAAAAAATATTGGCGTTTTTACGAAGGTCCAGTAAAATTACCGAGGAATTTCAATAATTTTACCGAGATTTCTCGGGCGTATGAAGGGGGGACCTGCCTCCCACTAGAATTGAAAATAGTAGCATGTGCTCCCCCCCCCCAAGGAAATTCTGGAGGTTGGGAAAATACCTTCCTCTTAAATGAAAACGACGTGCTCATTCAGTTAATATTTTCGAAATTTTCATCACGGATGCCTCAGAATGTGTCTAAATAGAATTAGAATTTCAAAATTCGAAAGTCTTATGTGCTGAAAGTAAAAACAACGTAATTTTCCTACAAAACCGATGGCAAATCTCCGTCACGGGAGCCTCAAAATGCATCCCTAAATTTAATTTCTAACATTTCCCTGAGGAGGGCCCCCCGAACCCCCCTCTGAATCGGGAGGAGGAGATATGGATATATCGTGGATTTTTCATACCCCTCTGACCTCTCGATGGTAAGGGGGCAAAGCCCCCCTATCCAAAATGACCTGGGTATGTCTACGTTCTTGCTGCGCATACTTCACATATACGGTATTCCATAAAGTGCAGCGGTAAAGAACGGTACCTGATCGTTTATTTTATCTTCATAATTATATCAAGAGTATTTACACTATCCGTTTTTTTAAATATGAATGAAGTGATTTGTTTTCATATAGACTTTCAAGGCAAAATGAGGGACCGTCTGCTTCACGCTTTACAATAGAATAGTTTCCTCAGTGTGCTGAATTTTCTCGGTTTTAAAATTTCTCCGTGCATTAAACGCGAGAGACAATTTTGTGGGACCAAAATTTGATCATACATTCAACTTACAATTTTGTTCCCCATGACCAATTCTTATTCGTTATTGAATGTTTTTTTCTCTTTTTTTTACTGATCCTGATGTTAACTTTATACCTTAATTAGTCTCTAAAAAATGTCCAAATTTTGTCCGACCTCTCCTATCGACTCACTGGTGGAGCTGCAGAAGCGTGTATCTCGATCACGATGTTGGAAAATCTCCGCTTCTACTTTATTTTTTTAAAAATGGACCGAACCAGCACCGTCGCTTGAAATCGTAGAATATTCTTGACGCAAAGAGGGAAGATCACAAAAGCAGCCACTGGAAAAAAAGAGTCGCTGGGGTCTAGAGTCATGACTCTTGAAAACATTGACAAGAAAAAATACGCTTGATTCGATCGGATTTTGCTTGAATCTAAAGGAAATCCGCTTAAATCAAGAATCCTTTGTCTTCGATTCAAGGAAAAATCCGATTGAATCAAGAGTATGTTTTCTTGTTAATATTATTAAGAATCTGGATTCTCGATCCAAGCGATTTTTTTCCAGTTTCGAGAAAATGAAGCTCAGTATATTTTCGTTTAGAAAATAAAGCATATGCCTGGAATTTTGCAGCATCACAAACCGAGATACGTATTTCTGCGATTTCGCCATCCACATCATGTCATGATCCAAAATTTATTTATTTATTTATTTTTAAAAAAAAATTGTATTTAGGTAAAACGTAACTACTACAAGAATATGTCTTGTATCTATCAAAGGCAATTGGTCAAATCAGGCATTTTATCAAATGCCCAGGCCGGTAGTCAAATTTTGACAGTTTACGGAATTTTGTAAATTTATGGCAAAGAGTTCACGCATTCTCAATATTTTGAGAATAATAACTCTTCAAATCCGCGAACTCTCCTCGTTCCTTCTTTTTCACACGCCATCAGTATATCTAAATTTTAAAATTTTAAAAATTCTATGTTTCATGACGTGCTGAAAATTTCACGAGAAATGTGCATTCAGGATCTTATAATCGTTTAAAACACTATTGTATGCTGCGTATCTTTATAGAGAATTCTTTTTTACAGGAGCAACGAATTATTTTGTCTAAAATTAAGGTTAAAAATCAAAGTTTCAAACTAAGTAAGAATATTTGACTATTTGTCTAGGCATTAGATACAATGCATGATTTGATTATTGGCCTTCGACATATTTATCTCCATGATTTAAATAAACTAAATTAATTACATTAAATATACAATGTTACTTTAGATAATAAAATCATTATCGAATATAAATTCATAAGATTATGTAAATTGTAACACATAATGCTTAAGGCGCGAAGCGTTTGGAGAGTGGCACTGCGAAGCGGTCAGGGGGCATAGCCCCCTCCTTAATATGGAATTATTTGACGAAGTTTCAATATTCAACTTGTCAAAGGATTTCTCATGACACTCTTCTTGATACTTGAGAGTCTCAATCTCAAGTTGAGGCTCTTTATTTCCGACGTTCCACTTGACACTCAAGTTTGACTAAATATAAATGTTTACAAAGTGGCTCTTCCATCACAGCCTCAACCTATTATCAGAGTCGAGGTTCAGCCGTTGTACAGGAAGTATTCTGTTCCGTGTGACCTAATCATACTCAAGAGTAACGCGTAATGCGTAACACCTGAGCCGCGAAGCGCTTCTGGGGTTCGGACCGGGAGGCAGGCAGGGGGTGTAGCCTGTAGCCCCCTAGTTTCGTGTATTATTTGGACGTATTACTGTCAAACGGAACTATGTGCATTAAGACATGAGCCTTTAGGCGCATAAGAATGTACGTATAACAGGGCTCAAGTCACAATGCACATAGTTCCGTTTAACAGAAATACGTCCATTTGTGGTCAAGAAGATGTATATTCTTTGCAACATTGAGCGGATCTTCCCATGGCTGCGGTGTGGTTTTTGCGAATGATTTCAACACAAATTCAATGTAGGTGTACGCATTCTTTCTCCGTTTAGTGAGAGAGAGCTTTTATTGGTAACTTGTAAGTCACGTGATCCATCGGAATTGTCTTCGTCCTTTATTAATCATGAACTAATTCATGGAGTCTAATGATTAACGTTTTCACAAGCTTGCGAGAGCCAACTTTTCAGGGTGTTCAAAAATTAAATTCCTTGACTTCTCAATGACTTTTCAATGATTTCTAAGCATAAGTTCTTAACAAAATGATTTTCAAAAATATCTTTCAACTCTAAGTTTAACTAATGCATTATAGCTCGTCACAGAAATCAAGCGCGTTTCGCAGTGCGTAACCAACATAGAAACGGCGAATTGTTAAAGCGCCTTCAAAATGAAAGAATACCACAAAAGTTACCTGTGTGGCATAATATTTTTTTGGGAAGCAATAAGCCGGATGATATGCCTCCTACTCTCATAGTTTTATCAGTGCTTCCGGGTGCGATGGCTACTAAGGGAAGTAAAACAGGTGTCTTCGTCGGACACTGTGCGATTAAAGTCAGCTAAGAGCATTTTGAAAAAAACGGTTATAGGACATTTCGTCAACGATTTTTTGTCCGCGCACCTGTTTTTTCCAGTAATTTACGTCCACGCGATTTTTCGGCACGGGAGTTTTGGTCCTTGTGCCAGTTGAGAGCCAAAGTTAATTGGCCAACATGTAAATACAAACGATTGATTTATTTTGTGCGCCTACAAACCTAAGTGGATACTTCAAGCATTGTGCAATTCGTGAAGTATCTACTTAGGTTTGAAGGCGCCAGTGAGCCTCTCGCGCTGGCAGCACGCCGCTCCGCTCTCTTAGGCTTTAATATTTATACTCGCATAGTCAGCGTTTTTTAACTCATGATTTTGAAATGCTTGCACACTTAGCACTGATTATTCTCATTTAAATTGATGGGAAAAAAATATGTATCAATTTATCAGAGGAGAATAATCATATAATGTGTGTTTTTTAAATAATGGTGTTTAACACACCAATGGTGTTAATGGTGTTTAATAATGGTGGTTTACACAATTTTTGTTTTAAGGTGATTCTATGTGATCTAGGGACGAGATTCACCACTGCATGGTGCTGCTATATGCGGTTTTTGTCTTTGGGAAGCAATAATTATAGTTGCATACAAGTTAACGCGAGAAACTGATGCATAATGTGTAGTAGCATTCATACTGAGTAGAATGATATCAAATTTGTTAAGATTCATTGTAAATGTACACCTAAAACTACGATAATGGACTTCGTCCATTCACTCAATGTGTAAGAGAGAGTCATTACATCGGTATCTCTCTCTTACGTATTGCAATGGACAAAGTCCGTTATCGTAGTTTCAGGTAAAAATTTACAATGGATCTTAACAAATTTGATGTCTGCGTTAACTTGTATGCAACGATAATTATTGCTTCTCAAAGACACATACCGCATAGCAGCGCAGCGTAGTGGCGAATCTCGTCCCTAGATCGCATAAAATAACTGGAAACATGGCTAAAAGTACGTGTGATAAAAACCGAGACATTTCGGCTCAGAACAGAGCCATTTTCAGTCAGAGAAAAATAATATAAAAAAAATTGAAAAAAACCTAAGATCTACACAAGATTTCAGGTTTTTTCGGTTTCAGGACATTTTGTCAACGATTTTTTGTCCGCGCACCTTTTTTGTAGAGTAGTTTACGCCCACGCGTAAAATAAACAACGGTGACTTGATCCAAGCGTCATATAATAGTCGGTTTATAAAATTATATTGACAATATGGAAATGAGAAATTGAGAGAGGAGGAGGTGTTGCTATCGTTGTTCATTTTCTAAATGAAATGTTATCACTTTCTCCTTTTGAATAATCTTTTTAAATTGTCATTGGTGAATATTTGGTTTTATTTATATCCTTAAGTTATTTGATGTACAATATACCTTATATATGTATAGGTACTTTTTTTATTTTTTTAATTTTTTTCTTTACAAAATTATTACTTCATTTTGAAAAAAATTATATTTTTAAAACGTGACAAATATTTGTAAAACCTTTTCCAAGCGACATTAATCTCAATAAAACCGCAGTTGTACCGACAGAAACTGCAAAAATGAATAAAAGAGGAGAAAAAAACAAGAAGCACGCAAGCTTTAGTTTTAGTTCATTTATACATCGATATTTTAGAGTCAAATACGTAAAATTTTGAGAGTTTGGTTGCGCGTACACCTCGCTGAAGCACAATAAAAGCACAAAATGTAAAAGAAAAAATTAAAGTGCTTTGGAAATCATTAAATTTGACACAAAACCACCATTATTTAAAAAACACACATTATATGATTATTCTCCTCTGATAAATTGATACATATTTTGTTCCCATCAATTTAAATGAGAATAATCAATGCAGAGTGCGCAAACATTTCAAAATCATGAGTTAAAAAACGTTGACTATGCGAGTATAAATATTAAAGCCTAAGAGAGCGGAGCGGCGTGCTGCCAGCGCGAGAGGCTCACTGGCGCCTTCAAACCTAAGTAGATACTTCACGAATTGCACAATGCTTGAAGTATCCACTTAGGTTTGTAGGCGCCAATGCACGTTCCGCGCTGGCCGCCCGCCCGCCGTGCGGCGGCGCCTGAAGCAACTATTTCACAGCAAAGGTGTTGCACAGGATTATACGAATTTCGTGTAAGCTGAGATAGTAATCCTGATTGCAATTCAATTTACGTCTGAAAAATCAATATCACTGAATATTACATGGAGCCGGATCCAGCAATTTGGCAACACCGGATTTCCTCCATTTCAACCTTTGCTAAATAATCGATTCTTGTCGGAGCACCTGACCCCTCCAAGATTCGATACAATTTCATAGGTTTAAATGGAGAAAAGACAATGTTGCCATTTCCTGGATCCGCCAATGATATTTCAACGAGCAAGAGAAATCCGAAAGTGGAGTGCAGCGAGAAATACAGTTATACAAAGGATTTTATACTGATTAATTAAATTGATTGACCACTGGATGGAGTCTAAATTTAATAAAAAAGCATGAAAGATTCATGTAAAGGGATATATTCAGTAAAATTACGAATATCCTCAGAGGTTGAATTTTCCCAAAATCACACAGGGCGTTCCAAATGATATGGTCCATTATCAATTTGGTAAAAGCTTCAAGATGCTGTGTAAAGAATGATGAAATAATGAGACAAATGTAAATACTAATATAAAAGTCTTTATTCAATGTTGCGTGGGTTTTCATCCATTTTTACAGTATTAAATATAAACAGCAGTCGAAAGATTTTGCAAAAATAACAATGAAGCCTACAGGGTCTAATGAAAAAGAAAGCCTATCGAATCTTCAACTTGTTAGATTTTTCTATGCTATATTCATACCGATTCCAGCGTTTATCTTACATAAAGCCCATGGAGTTGGAGGAAGTTTCATCGAGGATGTAGAAGGGGCTTTCTTTAACTTGTGCGTTACGTATAGGTAATTCGAGAGAACTCAAGAAAATGTCAGAAACACATCCTGTGTTTCGCTCTGCAACCCTCCCGCCGGCTATTCCTGGAAAATTCTATTCAGCGCCAGGGAGAAAACTGAGAAAGACTTCTTTACCGGCCGCCACTGCGCTTACAGGTAGTGATAGATCAGACAGACACAGATTGGAGGAAGCCACAATAGCATATTGGGCAGTGAGTTCCAGCAGGCGGCATTCACTGTGGCATCCTGTTGACAAAATTTGAAAAAGACCGTCTTTGATGGATGATGCAAATGACCGGTAAATGAAAAAGAGAAGAAGACGTAAGAGTTGATGTTGAGATGATGAATCTTAGTTTAAATTTTTTCGCATTATACGCAATTTTCCCTAGGAAGTCGGTTTTAATGAAAGGAAAAGTTCGGTTTTCCCACTTTGAGCTGATAAAGCAAAATGAAGGTCATTTTTGAAATGATAATGATTTTGGCAATATCCGTCAATTCCGCGCATTGACATGTTTTGGAAGTAGAACACAAGATGGTATATCCAACACGTGATGTTGGAAGAGCGCGCCATAAGCATATATCTGGATAGTCACATTCAGGCTTATCCTGTTTTTTAATTACTGAACGCATTATAGAAACGCCTTAAAATAATTATGAGTTACACTCATCCCGGCAAAAACATTTCCATGTAAATATGAGCTGCCAAGCTAAAAATATAAACATTCGTCGCCTTAAATAAATTGATATCCCAAATAGTAGACGCCAAGTAAAATTTATTGACACTAATTTAAAGTTTCTCCTCCCTTCAATAATAATTACTATCGGGAAAACGCAAGATACAGACAAAAAAAAAAATTTAAAGAATCGATTCAAATTTATCTCTAATTTATTCTCTAATTTTATTCCAACGGCGCGCTCTTCCAACACCACGTGTTGAATTTACCATCCTGTTTTTTTTTTTTTTTTTTTTTTTTTTTTTTTTAATGCTCCGTGTACTACATACAGAGATTTGCTGTGATGACGTAGGTACCTTTGATTGAGCGTCTTTCAATGACTGCCAGAACTCCAACCTTTTTGGAAATAGATTCTCTTTCACTGCCGGCTCTGATGTGATGTGTAGGTATTGATGTGTCTTCGCCGTCCTTCTCACTGGCTGCAACTTGCAGCCGATACCGGTCAGTTTTCTAGACGGTCGGACAAAGGAAATCGGATAAGAATTGATTCAGATGAAATTCCAAATTTGCAATTATATTGACAATATCGAGGCTGAGATGGAGTTCTTGCGAGCATCAGGGATTTGTAATTTACATACCATTTCTTACCTACTCAATTTTTTACAAGAAACTTGATGGTATCGCTGGTATTCTCTAGCTCAAAAAAGCTTTCGAAGTTGAGTAATAAAGGGGATCCCTCAGGCTACACTTAGAGTACACACCTCTATATCTTGTCAAACTCTCTTCTCACAGAGAGGGGACGGACGAATTAGCAGAATTGCCGTAGTTCCAGCCTTACAGTTATTGGGGAAAGTGGCAACCCTGTTAATATACATATTTGCTTTCTATCTATACGGTGCAGGGCCGGATTTACCTACTTGCCACCCCCTTCTCATTTGTTTCGAAACATCAATAAAAACCATCAAGTGAACGTGCCGGAGGGGGAGGGGTGCATGAGACGCGTTTACCTACTCGTGTTGGATACATTTTTTGCGAAAGCCCTGGCAACACTACCGGTAAAATTTCACGGAACTTTGCGGGAAAGTTAAGTTCCGTAAACCTATCTCTATGCAGACAAGGCCCTCCATTTGGACCGCGTTAAACAGAAAGGAACCAAGCCACATCAGCTGTTGCCGAATTTAATCGGGCAGTTTAATTTTTTACATGAAAACGGTTGTGCGGATTTTTGTGCAAATTTCAGTGAATTTTCTCCATAATACAAGGCAAATTCCTTAAAATTTTCAAAGGAATCTGCACAGACGTTCTCTCGTAAAAAATGAAATTTCCCTGTTAAATTTGGCAATAGCTGATGTGGCTTGGTTCCTTTCTGTTTAACGCTGTCCATTTATAAGAAATGAACCGAACAATTATGAAACAACAAACATAAGTGTGGTTTAATAATTTTAACTTCCGCCGCTGAGCCACGCTGATCGCTCTGTGACTGGCGCAATGCGTGAAGTATTCCTGCAGTCTTGTAGGCGCTATACGTTTCACGCCAACCGCTCCTGACCGCACTGTGTTTGGCGCAATGGGTGAAGTATCCATGCAATCTTATAGGCGCTAATATGTGTTACATGCCGATCGCCGCGCCGAGAGCTTTTCTTTTTCATCTTAAGTACTCGTCATCATTCCTCTCTGCGTTGAGCTCCGGGCTGAATTGCGTGTTTAGTTCCTCTCTTCATTCTACTAATTATAGATGATACTTTTTGTATCACCGAAAAACGACAAAATTAGAAATGACTATACTCTCAGGAAAGAGAGATTTCGTCCCCTCTTCTCATTGATAATTTTATTTCTGAATCCGATTATTTTATACCTTTATTTAAAGAAATTGCAAAATTCGCCGCCCCCTAAATTTGCCGCCATGGGCCGCGGCCCATGTGGCCACTCCCTTAATCTGGCCCTGATACGGTGTGCATGAAGAGTCTGAATAGATAAAGAGAGGAACCTCACGTAGAGTGGGGGATCCTCTTCATTACGGCCTCAACTTTGAGAGCTTTTTTTTAGATTATGAGTTTTCTCAAAGAAAAGCAGTATGGCACCATCGTGTTTATCAAGAAATGTTGTAAAAGATAAAGCACTCAAATTGCAAATATCTGATGCATGGAAGAATTCTATTGCGTGGAGAGTAACAACTGATTTAGTGACGTTTGAGGGAGTCAAAGGAATTAACATGATTAGTTTTACAAACATTTGTTTCACCTCTTAAAATGTTCGTTCAGCCTTGCAGGTCAGATTTTCAGCGACTACATTTAATACCTACTGTACTTTGTGAAATTTTGTTCATCAAAACTGAACACCCGCCTACAAATCTAAGAAATTATTCCCAGACGCGTGTCAAACTGAGCGAATGGATTTAGGTTGCTTTTACAAAAGGCGCAATGAAACTATCCTTCACAATGAATTAAATGTAGAAACAACTTGCTAGGGAACTCACCCATTTTTGGCAAAATCCGTTACTATATCAATAGTCTTTCTTGAAACTTGGATATCAGCTTCCGTATATTTTCTTTCCGGAGTAAACGGAAAAAGATCGAGTAAGTCATCTACGTGTGATACACCTGCAAATAGAAACGAATATACACTATGAAAATAGAGAAAATATGCGGTAGCCCGCAAATCAAAAAATCAAGAGAGGGGGTGGGGAGAGCGGAGCAGACACGGAAAAAGGGATATTTCGGCCAAAGAAAGAGGGAATTAAAAGCCAAAAATTAAACAATGCTCACATAAACGTTTTTAAACATTTTGATTTCGTAACGCTCAAAACTGGAAAACAAAAAGATTGTAGCTCTCAGAAAAAAACCTATCCAGTTCTTAGAGTAGTTGACTTTTGGGTGTTTTTAGAAAAAGGCAAGTCAGCTGTTTTCGGGGATAAGGGGGAAAAATTATTTCCTTTATCATCAAAATGTAACCCACCCTTGATTCTGCCTCCGCTGTAAATGTCATTGAAAGAAATGCTGTGTAGATAATCGTACAAATAAAGGTACGCATCTCCGTGGTGCTTTCTAGCCGCTTCCACGGCGCCATGTAGAAACCATCTGTCCGTGAGCATCTATAAGAGTGATAAAAAAGAAAAGAAATTGTGAGAGTTGATGATGAGATCATGAATCCAAATTTTAATTTTTTCGCGTTTTACACGACTTTTTTGTATTATACACGACGCGTTATATACGTTTTTGGGACATGGAATGTACAGGTCATTTCTAATAAATTTACAGAGGTTGTATATCGGAGGTAAAAATCTTTCCCACACGTATCTAGTTCCTTTTAGCATGAATACGTACATATATTATTTAAAGTAACGGAACGTTCTTTTCGTTCTTTTCGTACTCCTATATATTTTCAAAATTACCTGTAAAGACGTTAATAGCCTAAGTCGCTGAATGTCTCAAAATTATAATAACTAACTAACTAACTTTATTCCTAGCAAACATACCTTCAGTCTAAAATGATTTAACTTACGTTGACGATTTCTTGAGTTGAATCATTCAGATCTACAGGCTTATCTCCGAGGTAAAATTTCTGAATTTGCGCCGCTACACTTGAAAGTTTGTCGCTCGGAAAGTCCGACTTCAGTAACAGTGCTTTCGATAAGACATACTGCGGATTTTCTTTCAGTTCGTTCTCAAATCTACTTCCTCCCCTGATTATAACTGTAATAAAAATGGAGCATATCAATCGATAATCCTAGACGTTTAAAGATATTTTCGTTTGTAAATTCTGTGATTTGAAATTGCAGTCTTTAAAGTTTGGAATTATTGATTCAATTGCAAACATTGAACAGAAATTTTTATAAAAATTAAATTTCAAATTTCTGTAAGTAAGCCATAAATTTTTGCCCTGCAGCTCCAAGAATTGATACAATTAAATTAGAACACGGCGCCAATGTCATTATTAACGTGACATAATCATAGGCGGATTCAGTCACCTCGAATAGGGAGGGGGGCGAAAGGGGGGTCCGATAAATTTGTGTGACTTTTTGAAGTATCTAATATGCAGTTTCAGTCAATTCCGTGATTGCGTTTTTCCTTCTTCTTTCCTCTGTTCCTTCTTTCTCTTCTTCTTCCTCTTTTTTTTCGGCTGAACCGGGAGGAAGGGGGATGCACGCCCCCCCACGCCCTCCCTGGATTCGCCTATGGATACAGTGGTATTTTTATTAACTGATTATGAATCAAAAGAACATGACAGTAAAAATAGCATACTATCAGTTATGAAGCCAAGCATTTTTTTAAGGGAGACTAACGGTCAAATATGTATCATAGAAGGCTACCCCCTCGCCAATACCCCCTGCAAAGAGCCCTAAAGAAATATGACACCTGTCTTTGTCGGACTACCGTTAGAATAGCTATCTTTGAGGCAAGCGGAGTTTATATCTTTGTCAGTCTTACGGCTTCTATCACATTGATCCCAGAATCAAGGGGAGAAAAAATCCACTCTATTCTAATAAAATCATTTTTAAGACGCTCGATGGACGGGGTGAGGAAGGAGAGTAAAACGGTCGATGGGCTGGAATTCGAAGTCCGTAAGTGGGAAAAGTCTAATTGAATCATTTTTAAGACGCTCGATGAATGGGGTGAGGAAGGGGAGTAGAAAGAGAAAGAAACGGCTCTTTTGGGGCGTGCAGCGCCCAGGGGGCGGACCTCCTAGTTGGATACTATATCACTGAGAAAACTTCAGTTACCTAGACTGATAACTTTAGTTTCCCATATGAGCTGAAGTTAAGTCTTTATAGCTGAAGGTTTTTTCTTTCGAGAACTACCACATGTCCGAATAATTTGCTGTTACTTACGTGATGCAAAAATACCTCCTTCGCCAGAGGTTAACCCTGTCATGAAAGGAATTTCGGATCCCAATTTATCTAATTCCTTCGGAAGGAAAGCATTTTCCGTTTCGGACTCGATGGTTGGTACGAAAACAAAATCGCCAACGATCCAGTCCTGTGAAAAGAGAGAGATAAAAAAGTGTCAGCATAAAAGTACAAATATTTTTACTCTTATAGAATGTGGAAGGGTCCCTTATTGAATACGATGATTTTAGCTTTTCAGATACACGCAAGAATTTTCACGTCAAGCATAAAATACTAGGGGGCCATGCCCCCTGGCCGCTACGCGGCCCATACCCCAGAGGACGCTCCGCGTTCTCTTGGGCCCGCGTCGACAAAAGAACGACCAAAAAAAAATGAAGAGATTTTCATGATCGACTCTCATTTATCCAATATTTCCCTGACCGGGAGCTATTGGACCAATAAGAATCGAATGAAAAAATCGGCATTTGTTGCAAACTTCACGCCAAGACTGAAACGAAACGGAACGGAGCGTTTCGTCAAAAACTGCCCAAGTACAACAGCAGCATTTTATTATTATGATTACATATTGCAATAGGAAATTACCAACGTTACAATTCTGCTATTAAAACCACGATTATACGACCAGCGCGACTGCTTGAAGCAATACAGTAGTTAGTGCTTTAATAAAATGCAGTCCAAATATTGAAAAAAAATCCAGGGCGAATTTATCAATGAAAATTTCTTACTCTGAATTTTTGCCCATCTCTATTAGTAAGTCAATTGGGACCTTCCGCATGCATTCAACGAGTTCGTTTGAGGGTTCAGAGGGACAGCTACACAACACAGCCAGTGCTTTTGTCCTGTCTTTAGCCAACTTTGGAGTTGCGATTACCCACGGACCATATCCAGTTCCGCTCATTGCAATTACCCTGTGAATCAGACCTAGATCAGGGAAGAAGGAAATAGGTTATACTTAATTTTTGTACGGTTAGGTTGTGGTTAGTTTATTTGTGACTGCGGAACTGAGAAAAGAAAACCCTCAGCACCGACTGCGAGCACGCAATATTAGTTGTAATGGGAGACGAAAAGAAGTTGTTGGTGTCATGTTTGTGGGATTGTGAATGATAAACATTGCGTGATAGAGAGGATAAGAACAATGTCTTTTATTGGTAAGACCACACGATGATGCTACACACCGAAAATAAAAGTGAAGTTGATTTAACTTTCTGGATGTAAAAAAAAGTGTGCGAGAACTTATGAAATGCCGAAGTACCCGCTACGGCAGTTACATTAGCAATGCCAAGATGTAAAGTTAAACACTGTGGCGGGTAATTGAGCAATTTATAATTTTTCGCACACATTTTTTACATCCTGAATGTTACATCAACTTCACTTTGTTTTCGGTGCATGAAAACGTATCTTGACGAACGGGTGGATCCAACGTGGAGGATCTGGAGAAGGGGTCACGTTATGGTGCGGCTTATTATTTGGGGAAAGTCCGAAATGTTAGGACAACACACCTTCAATCGGTTCCATTTCATGAAAAAACATACCAAAAAAAATTTTCAGCTCAAAATTCGAAAATTTAGAGGTCGCTCAAAGGCCTCAGAGTTTACGATTTTGGCCAAATTTCGTAAAATTTCTTCGATATTGACGAATCTTCAGGACAATAACAAAGAGAAACAAGTTGGTTTTTGCAATCGCTAGCGATAGCAATATTCGTCATGGGAACGTTAGCTTCTGGGACATGAAAATTTTAAGGTACAGCTCGTTTGCAGTATCTTCAGAATTGAAGGGGCTATGTAATTTTGTGTCAACATCTCTTTTTTAACATTTTTAATTTTTTTTCTTTGCATACAAGAAAGCTGTTATTTACCAATTATTTATTTTCGTTGGATTATACATGGTTTTCGGAAGTTAACGCATTTAACTTTCAGTTTCGCTTTTTCGGCGTAAAGTATGATATTTTTCCTCTACACATATGCCCGAATACGCATCATAAGTGACCTATGTGCCTCCTAAGTTGCCATTTTTTCATTCAAATAGATGTAACTGAAATGTTCGATGTGCACTATACTACTTTCATGTCATTGCTTTATTTATTTTTTGAAAAAAGAAAATACCATCATTAATTTGGGCGAACAGAGAAAATATACATCAATATTTGGGTCAACATCTCCCTGATTATATAACGGATGAATATATTAGTATTTCTGTATCAAAAAACTTAGCTTTTGTCTTCAGAGATACATTGATTCTAGTCCAAGGCAATTTGTTTTATTGAAAAGACAAAAAAACAACTGAAATGTTAGACATACTATTTTCATGTCTTTCTATTTGTATCAATAGGTACATCTTGCTTAACTTACGAACATTGAATGCAAATGAACTTTATTGAAAAAAAGAAAATAACGTCATTAATTTGGGGAAACATGTGGCTGATTATATGAAGGAGGTATATTCTAGTATTTTTGTTTAACATATTAACTCACGAGAAAATGTTCGTACATTTATCATCTAGTATTAATTATTTTTTGATGATTGGTCTAAAACATTCAATACAACCATTAAAAATTAACTTCCATCGCCGAGTATCGAATTCCCGATCACCTATTGCCCGCACCTTATCAAAAAAATGAGGCGCCTCAGTCAACTAGGCTATCACGGATCCGCGGCAACTCGAGAAAAAATAGCATTTAAAAGACTCGGACGATGGGCGGGACTTATCACAAGAGTTGTCCTTGAGCGATTCGCGTCTTCGTAGCTTCTGAATTATGAAAGAAATGAACTAAGCGCCTTTCTCTGTGAGACATTGTTTGCCTATGCTATCATGTGTCTCAAGGTTCATCCCAGCATGCATTCGCGATTGCGGCAGTTGAGCTAAGGCAATATTTGCGTATCCATGAATTAAATCAATCAATCGAGCTCTGATTTTGACTTCTTTATCCGTAACGAGTCCTCCAGAACAATTTTCCACCTTGTACGATGGTTATTATTTCTTTACTTCTATTTTTCAAATTTGAGGTGGAATAATGGCGGCTTCTCAAGAACACCGAGGTAGGCGATCTTTTGCACCAACGAACAGAAAACTGATGGCGAAAAGTAACCAATCAGAACCTCCCAAAAAAAAGAATTTGCCCAAAATCGGAACTTCGTGGTTCTGCGCAGATTTACCAGTCAGACACGACATCTCAAGGTGGAAAAAAACTCGCTGAAAGCGAATTTTAGAAATAAACACAACTTGACGTAGAGACATGATTGGCTAAAAAATACAACGGTTTTTGATACATCGGAAAATCAACCAAAAATCGAAGACTGGGCGAAACGCTCAAGGTCGCAGAGGCATAGGGAATCCCATAGCGATAGCATCGGAACGATTGTAATATCATGGGGAACTCCGTTCCCATGACAAAAGTTAGAATTTTTTTCATCCGTCATGGTATATTAAACTACATTTGACAAATTTCCACACTCTATGATCCCTCGGGTCAAAAAAATGACTTGAGTAGGAACCCGCAAAAGCAGTCTGTCGCGCGCTCTTAGCCGGAGTTTGGAGTCACGGCGCGGCGCGCTTAAAACGTAGGACCGAGAAAAAAAATCTAGAATTCTACGCGACTACAGCAGGAGAGCACCAGGCCACGCAACTTCAACTTTAATTTTGTTCAACTTCAAGTCCTCGTTTCATTACAAAAAAGAAGTACACCTCGCGGAACTTATTATTTAAGTCGCTACTGAGTGTTTTTTGTAAAAATTCAAAATCCAATTTTACAAAACCTCCCTCGATAAAAGTTGTTCTTCCGAAATTTGCATCGGCGGACTGAGGTTTCTTTTTCCGTGGACAATGAAAACGAATAAATCAGCAAATAATCAATCAGTGCGCTTAATCAGTGTTGATTTTAAAAATAACAATAAACTGCACGACACCTACCTTTGTTGAGTAGCGACAATAGATTCAGATGGACGGCTCCACCCCCGGCACTTTCGCCGAATATGGTCACTAAATCAGGGTTTCCACCGAAGTTTATAATATTGTCGTGAACCCATTTAATCGCCAGGGCTTGATCCTTTAATCCGAGATTGGCGGGGATAGCGTTGTCGCCAGTGCTTAGGAACCCTTAGGTGAAAATAAATAAAAAATTAAACCACAGGACTAGTGAAGAGCCGTAAGAACGAGACTTTAACAAAACTATTTTTAAAAAAGGAAAAAGAAAAAAAGTTCATAATGTAACTATTTTACTACTGAAAAAGTTTATATTATTGGCCTCAGGACTCTTTTTTCGGAACTGAATAGTATGCGTCAAATCATCTTACGTTAACCGAAAATTTTCGGCTGAATTCAGTTTTCTCCTTTTCTCGATTTTTTTTCCTCCGATAAGTTCGGAAATTTTCGAAACAAGCTGTCATCGTGTGGTTTCGGCTCTCGATACCGCCCGTTCACTTTCAAGTCCTCAAGATCAAATTATTTTTTTACAGAGATCGAGCAAACCCTAATTTCGATACTAGCACATGAGGGATAAAGTGTCTTAAATTTTAAACAATCACATCAATTTCAACCACACACTTACCTAGAGCTCCCAGTCTATAGTTGATGGTGACCAACACGACATCTTTATCCAGTAGTAGCTCTGGCCCGTAGACGGAGCCAGCTCCCCACTGAAATCCACCGCCGTGTATCCAGACCATTACAGGGAGTTTCGCCGCTCTGTCCACCTATGGAGTATAAAACAGTGTTTTTACTTCTTTTAGGAGAACCAATCAATCTTATGTACATCAAAATAAATCAATCGAAATTTGGAGTTGATGTAGGAATTAAAATACACACAAAATGTCGGTCCGTATCTTTTAGCTAAACCGACCAAATTTTTTTGTTACTAAACCAAAACATTTGGATGAAATACGGAATGGAATAATTAATCACGACGAAAGTACCCAAAATTTAATTATCATGTTTTGTTCAGATCATCTTCAACTTCGATGCTCCTTGATTTTTCACCAAACAAACAGCATCGTTTCAGAATAACCTTTTTTGGGTTTTTTTAACCCTTCAACGTGCAAAAATTTCACGAGAGAAGCTTAATGATGTCCATGCTCAAAATCTTACCTTCGGAGAGTACACATGGAGGACGAGGCAATCCTCCTGTCCGAGAAGTTGGTAATTACTCGTGTTGGCAAAATCGCTTTGTGGACACATGATTGCATCATTTGTAGCCTGAAGCGGCTCTTTCCATGGCTCTGCTGATTGTGGCTCCTGAAAACATATTGGCAGAGGATGAGAATATATGGTCATAACCATTAACCGGGGCCGGATTTACCTACTTGCCGCCATGGGCCGCCTGTATTTTGCCGCCCCCTTCTCAGTCGTTTTGAAACATCAATAAAAACCATCAAGTGAAGGTGCCGGAGGGGGAGGGGTGCATGAGACGCGTTTACCTACTCGTGTTGAATACTTTTTTTGCGAAAGCCCTGTCAG